ATCAATTATGCCTTTGCCAATGTGCGCCCTGAGACCGGGGAAGTCTACATGACTGATAGCTACGCTGATTTCGAGAAACACTATCCGGGTGACTCATGGTCTGACCCTGGCAACAATGTCTACGGTTGCATCAAACAGATGTATCTCTTGAAGAAGAAAAACCGCAACCTGAAGGTCATCCTCTCCATCGGCGGGTGGACCTACTCCCCGAACTTCGCAAAGGCCGCGAGCACAGACGCTGGACGAAAGTTGTTTGCCGACTCGTCCGTCAAGTTGCTGTCCGACTTGGGCTTTGATGGAATTGATGTTGATTGGGAGGTCCGCTTGTCCCACCAGCCCTCCAATATTGCGTACGATCACTGATATCGTTGCGATTGTTTTAGTACCCGGAGAACGATCAAGAAGCCAACGACTATGTTCTCCTTTTGAAGCAGATCAGAACTGTTCGTCTCCTTCCCAGCTGTGCCTCATGGAGTTCTAAACTAATGCCGAGCTAGACACTAGACGACTACAGTCGAAAGAGTGCAAATGGCAAGCATTTCCTCCTCACAATCGCAACATCAGCAGGTAAGCTAATCATCAGGCCCCTCTGTGCACCTCAGCGTTCTATCTAACATAACTATCTCTGCCAGGCCCGGATAAAATCAATAAACTGCACATTAAGGATATGGACGCCCAGCTGGATTTCTGGAATCTGATGGCTTATGACTATGCCGGAAGCTTTTCCAACTTGACTGGGCACCAAGCCAACGCATACCCTGATAATTCAAATCTGGATAGCACTCCGTTCAGCACCCAAGCGGCACTTGATCTGTATCTAAAAGGAGGTGTAGCAGCGAACAAGATTGTTCTCGGCATGCCTCTGTATGGCCGGTCATTCGCTAGTACAGATGGTCTAGGTAAGCCATTCACGGCAGATGGCGAGGGTACCTGGGAGAAAGGGGTGTGGGACTACAAAGCCTTACCAAAGCCGGGATCTGAGGTGCATGAGATGGATAATATCCTTGCCAGTTACAGCTACGACAGCCAGCAGAAACGGTTGATCAGTTATGACACCCCTAAGATCGTTCAGTTGAAGGCTGGGTATATCAAGAAACTGGGTCTCGGTGGCTCTATGTGGTGGGAAACCAGCTCTGACAAAGGAGGCAGCGACAGTCTGATTAGTACGGTAAGTTTCTCCTTCCTTGATATGGGCTATGTCGAAGTTGTCTGACTGTATGAGCAGGCAGTCAATGCACTCGGAGGCACAGGGGCCTTTGAGAAGGTTGAGAATCAATTGGATTACCCAGCCTCGCAGTATGACAACTTGAAGAACGGAATGAAATAGTCTGGGCAATCTCGGGATACGTATGATGTGCCTTGAACTGTGGTCCGATTTTTGATTTAACTCAAATTTTGTGTTTGTGATCTGGCAATGTTATTGTTTATCTATCCTTCCTGGTGACTGAAGTTTACTGTGTATGGTTGTGATTAAATTGATTATCGCTTATGTCTTGTATTGGTTCTAGTATACTCGTCTGACCGATTTCATCTGCGAGGATATGAGTATTCTACTCAGACTGCCCTTGGAGTGTGATCTACTTGCATCATCCATCCGCTACACATCATCGTAATATCGACAGTGGCTAAGAGATGAGTATGCCAGCTGGGTGTCTTAAGCCTAGTAGGCCCTATGATAGAAATACGTCCTCTTTCACGGTGTTTGCTGATAATTCGAAACCATCCTGCTATGTATGTATACACACGCGCCTTTGAAATGACAAACAGCATGTTATATCAGGAATCGTCTATACCACCTCTCTATTTGTAGTATTCAGTAACCCATGACTTGATCTGAGCTACTGCATTGTCAACCACTTGCTTCACCCCTGCGTTTGCATAGTAATCCTTGAGATAGAGGTCCGAGCAGTGAAATCCACCAGGAATGACCTGCACTGGCTCATCAGGTGTGCTCGTTAGTGGGCCACCAGGGCGATGAGTCGATGAAACACCCGAATCGCGCCAAGGATCATATTGCCTGGGAACATGTTAATAAAGTGTTTTTTCGATCCCTCGTTGGGTCGCAAGTTCAGGCTATCCTTACCCATTCACCCAGAGCAAACGACTGGTGTTCCTGTTTTCAGACCACCCTCCTGTCCAACCATTGACAGTCGCAGCAGTCTTTCCTTTTGCACTGCCATACGTGTAACCATTCACCTCGGGGAAGTATAGTGAGCACTGGCGCTGCCAGTACGCTGCATTCACCGTCCGGGGAACAATTGTTGGGACACCGTCCGGGGCACCGCTTGCAACTAAATTTTAGATTATGCTTGATATACAGGGGAGTGAAACTTACTCTTGCCACCAGAAGAAAGGTTCATTGCAGAGAAACCATTGCCACTGTCGATCGACCGCATTATTGACAGAGGTATCCGTAAAGATGGCGCTAGATGGATTGTGCGTGTCGAAGCAGGCCACAGTCCGGTTATCCTTCCAGTATCCGTAGTTGGCGCAATCTGGAGACACAGTCAGATTCATCGATGTAAAGCTCAATTCAGGGTACCTACAGCCGGGAAGAATAGTCGATTTGAACCAATTCGCATACCCTGTAAGAGCTTTCTGCAAGCCAACGCCTTCTGGCCCTGGAACAACGGCTGCGCCGGCTTTGACATTCTGCACCAAATGAGTCAGCCCCATGTATCAAAGAAAACCACAGATGTGGTAGAACCATACCTCAATAGCGTCGCAAAAAGCAAAGAACCCAGAGTATCCAGTCACGAAGGTGTTGTCCTGCCAGAGGTAGGGCCCTATCGGAAGGGCACTGTAGACGTTAGGTCTGCCTCCGACGTTGCGGACTCCTTGCACTTACGCGGCAAAATCATCATAGTGCTCGAGGGCTCCCAGACCGAAGAGCTCTTTTAGAGCCGATTGTGCTGCGGCGGATCCATTCTTCCCAACACTATCAATATGATTGGCAACCAACGAGACATCTCTGCTACAGTTCGGCGCCATGCCATGACGGATAGGATCGAAATATTGCCACTACAACATCTGTGAGCCATCAAACCAACACCTATGGTGAGCTTGTGGCACTCACGAAATCGTCAATAGCTTCAACAGGAGCGCTTGTGGCATGATAGGCCCAGAACGTCTCCGGGGCGACGGCAGCGGTCCAGGCTGCCAAAGCACCACTGTATGACCCACCAACCAGCACCCATGGCTAGTAATTCATATATCAGAAATATGGCTCTTCTTGTTTGGTGATATCGTCTGGATGAGGACTCTATCTTACAGCTCTCGGCGCATTGCTGCTATTGGATGTGTCAAATTTCAACTGAACGGTTTCGGCGAAATAGGTTAAGTCCAGAATGGACTGCTCCAGCGTAAGATACTGCAGCGTCTCGGCTGTGAGTTCCTCATAAGGCGAGGAGTCACCCCAGTAACGGTCTAGATCATCTTTAGACCAATGTTCTACTCTGCCCTAGGGAAATGGCCCGCTCACGCTCAATCAGAATCACAGCGCCCTGAATTTCCTGCGCATACAGACCAGTCAATGTGGTATTGGTGAGGTAGCCCTGATATCCATCGGCGGAGGATTCGCCAGGGGTGAATAATACTACCTACGGTGTCCGGTTAGTGACCATGGTGCTTCCACGCGAGGTATCGCTGCAAGGCAAAAACCATACCGGTGAGCCGGGGCCACCCCAGTACTCCGTACTCCACCAGTAACGCTGCGAGAAGGTCCCCTTTGAGGAGTCATGATGATCTAAGAGTTGGTTGAAGGTTGCCTCTCCTTCAACTACCGAGGATCGCGTCGAGACTGGTCGAGAGACCGGCGGAGGAACCGGCCTGGGCGGATGAATCGCGCGGCTGAGCGAGGGCCACGAGGCAAAGAGCGTGACAACGCCGAGAGGTGAGACGAAACGCATTGTGTCGAGCCCTCTGGTCACAGTGGGACTGATTCAGGAGAAGGGATACGGTTACACCCTCAGTGCAACGAGACATTGAGCGTGGCTACATGCAATGGCACGAGCCTGGGGGGAAGGAAATTAAAAAGCATCCATAGCTTTCCGGTGCCACCGTATACAAGGACCAGCCATCGTATCATTCAGATTCTGGTAGTATGCGCGAACTTTCAAATCTCCGTCGGAGAGCGTCGGACCAGCGCCAGCCATGCAGCAGGCACATAATCTCAACTGTGATAGTGTTGAGCGGACTTGCAGTAGCGGGGACCCGGCTAAGACTAGCAGAGGCAGGTAATTAATCTAAGCGAATTAATTGGAGCTCTCAGCATGAGATTCGGCTTATCGCGAGCTAGCCAGCATCAAGTGCCGGCGTGTTTTAGGTCCACTTCCACTAGGTTCATTTTGACGGACAGTCGTATGCTTCCAAGGGAAAGCCCCTTCGATTCGTAAACAACGTCCAAAGGAACCTTTTCATCAATTTAGTGACTACGCGTTGTGGACCTTCGTGCGATAACCCATTCTGATGGCCATACCGAGATTGAGACAGTATCAGTCGCTTTCAGCGGGAGACGTCGGTGTCGCGCATAGCAGAAGATACAACGTCTTAGATCAGTTCTAGTATTATTATTGAGTTCTTCCCATGAGAAAGATCTCTAATGTTCCGTAATTGTTATGTTGAATCATCAGTGTGAACTTGAGATTCTGTCTGGATCAATCCCCAGATATCAAAAATATATATCCTCGCCGTCAGACTAGTACAAGACTGTTGGGATATACGATGGTGTGTATTACTACAAGAATTGAACGCCCTTGTGAATGCTCTAGTAAGGCTCCATACAGAATCCCGTCCACTCCTCTCTTTCCTTCATAGATCATGATTATTAGTCTCTTCCCTCTTCCCTCCGTCGAATGTCCAAATGGCAAAATGACTAAAACTCCCCAAGACTCCACCGCGTTAGACCCGTTCAGGGAACGAGCACTAAGCTGATTTTCGGGTATCGGCAGAAAAAGTGACCGCCCCAGGATATTTCGGTTGGACTGAACTTGAACGGACACTCATCCTATCAACTGCTGAATCTTGTCACACAGGTCTCGCATCTTGTATGGCTTATGAATAATGTCGTCCATGCCTGCTGCCTTCATCTCCGCTTGCTGCTCGGCCCGGACATTTGCAGTGACGCCTAGAACCGGGACATGCGCCATCCCATGTTTCTCGAGATCGCGAACGGCTCGCGTCGCTGAATTTCCGTCCATCACTGGCATCGCCTGATCCATTAGAATGCAGTCGAATGTACTTTGCTGGACCATAGCCAGAGCCTCGCGCCCATTACTGGCCGCGGTCACTCGAAACCCCATGGACTCGAGCTTGCGTGCCACAATACGCTGGTTGATTACGTTGTCCTCTACCACCAGAACCCGTCGTTCTTTGGTTGCGTCCGGTGGAGGCCGTGGTGATTGGGATGGTTGCTGCTTGGGATACTGAGATTGGTCGGTGGACTGGGCAAGACTGGGACTGTGACGCATCACCTCCGTGTTTCCTGCCTCGTAGGCGATTCGGGCGGTATGTTGCCAGGCCTCGTCTTTGGACGCGCTGGGGGAGACCTCCTTCACATGCGTGATCTCAGGACTGGTAGGAATGGCCGGATTGGTGATCTCGTTTGTCCCTTCCGTTACCTCATGGCTGAGCGCTTGAACTTCCCGGCACAACTCGGCGATGGCCCCCGGCTCTTGTCGAGGTGGCTTGCTCTTGGCGCTCTCGACACTTCGACGAACGGTGAAGAAGAAGCCGAATGTACTTCCGTGACCCTCCTTCGAGCTCACGCCGATTTCGCCCCCGTGTATATGGCAGAGCCTCCGACTGACGTTGAGGCCAAGCCCTGACCCACCGTAGATCGACTCGGTTCTCGGGGTGGCTTGATTAAATCGTTCAAACAGCCGCTTCTGTGCTTCCTCGGTGATTCCAATGCCCGTGTCCTTCACCGCGACCATGATATAGGCCATGCCACCCTCCCCCCACTCGGGCCGGTTCGTCGCATTGCGTCGCAGAGCCGACTCATCGGAGCTGAAGAAACTACGTTGGGTGGGTAGGACGTCGGGCGCACCTTGGAGGCACCCATAAACACTGATATCTTCTTCTCGTTGCCCGCCTTGGCTGTGAACTTGATCGCATTGCAGACAAGATTGACGAGAACTTGACTCATGCGGTCGAGATCAGCGATAATCCAGTCCACTTCACAGTCGGCGTAGGAGTGGTCCAGCTTGTATTCGAAGTCGATGTCATGCTTTCGCAGCTCTGGTCGAAACATGCTTAACGACATGGCCAGATGCTGTCGTGGCTGCACGCGCCGCGGCAATAAGGTGAACATTTCTGCGTCTAACTTCGAGAACGTCAGCACGTCGTCAACGATCTTCTTCTGATGCGCAACGCAAAGACTGATCGTTTCCGCCGCTTGGGCGATGTCCTTGACCCGGATGTCCTGTTGGTCCTGCTGCTGCACGGCTTCCAAAATGTCTTCGGTGCAATGTAGAATGGCGGAAAGCGGATTCCGGACCTCGTGGCTGATCATATCGATAAAGCGTTCCTGTTGTTCCTTCCGCCGTTGCGCCTCCTCGGCGATTTTCTTTTGTGAAATCTCCGCCCGCTTTTCTTCGGTGATGTCGGTGATTGTGCAGTAGGAGCCTCCCTCGGTACCGAGGGGGAGTCCGCGCAGTTCTTCCTCGCTGAATGGCGTTAGCATGAGGAGGCGCCATTGGCATGGCTCGTCGCCCGTACGGTATTCGGTGCGCAGCGCTTTGTTGGCCTTCAGCGCGGTGTCGTATGCCGTTGCCACCCGCTCGTAGTCGCCCCGGGCAATCGATTGTGACCAACCGTCGAATGCCCTGCGCGATCGGCAGGTCATCAGTTCTCGGAAACGGCGGTTCGAGAATAGAATCTCATCTCGCACATTGAGGACAGCAGTTCCGATCGGCGAGATATCTGCCAGCTGCTGAGCTGACAGATTGCCGGGGGACGGAGCCGCCATAAATCGAGGGCCTGAATGGTATGCCGCCCCCAATCCGGGATGCTCGACGACCGCGTCGTACTTTACCGTAGGAAGGAATCAAGGTAGGACTTCGTTTTGACCGAATCTGTAGGACTCTTTTCGGCGTTTAACTCCGCTGGAAATGATTGACAGCGTAGTTGACTTTCAAGGTTGTTGGTAGATATCGGTACGCCACACAAAAAGCTGCAATGGCGGCGAGTAACAATTCCTCTGGCTATACCTGTATCCCGCTAAGTTTCGCCCTCGAGAAGCCGTTCGGACCTTCGTTCAAGGACAACAGGGTTGTCTGGGTCGCGTTGGTTGATGGCTTCAGGGCTTGCATCGGAAACCCTCATCGGCAGTCAGGTCGTGACGTCACCCCACCCAACTCGTATCGTTGGCCACCCCGACATTCGGCTGATGTGAAACTGTACCTGGTCGTGTGTCGTGGTTACCCTGGATATAATTTTCTCTAGCGGCTGTCCTTACCCGTCTATAGAACTCATCGCAGATGGTCAAGGATCTCTAACCCCCCGGTGATTTATTTGTGATACTTAGTCATCTTTTAAAAAGGACGAACAAGAGCAATGTGACACCGAGAAGATTACTGGGAACACTAGGCAATAGGGTCAAGAATCGAATGTGATTTACGGACAGCTGTGCAATCGCTCCTACAGGGCCTGACTTGGTCAAGTACTTGGTTATAATGAAACCTGGGGATGAGTCTGTCGCTCTGTTTTCGAATTTGGCTGTTTCGTCGAGTTAAGAGTATATCATGGCCATAGCTGGTCCCTTTGCCAAACACCATTTTCTGTCTCTGGCACATAGCGTAGCCTATAATGAAGGCGATCATTCGACCCTTGCCAGAATTCCACCGCCATCGGCGCCACGGCATATACTCTCCACTTCTGAGAGCCGTCCTCTTGCCCAGTGGATGCGGCACGTTCTACTTCCGCAATGCGACGGGTGAGCTCCTCGCGGTCCCGGAGGACCTGGCTTTGCTTCGAGGCCATGGCGCTCACCCTCGATTTAAACGGACGTTCGGCGAAGTCCTCCCTGCACTCAGCGTCTGGCAGCTGCCGGGCTGTTCCGCGCAATCGGATTTGCCGACCAACCTGGGGCCAGTAGAATGTCAGGGCGGCATATCCATTGGTCTCCAGCTGCTGAGCTTTCGGGCTATCTGCCTTGACGGCGAAGTGCCAGCCACGATCATCGACATTCTTCAGGATGAGGACTCGAGCGTCTGGGTAGCCTTGTTCGTCAACCGTGGCCAGCGTCATGGCATGGGGCTCTTTGACGCCGGCCATGATCGCCTCGTCCAACCAGTTTTTGAAAGCATCGTGAGGGGTGTCAGGAAAGTGGTCAAACTTCACTTCGGCGAATGGACCTTCAAGGACCGGAAGGTGGCGGAGTTGCGTTCGGATGTTGTTCTGGTCCGCCATATTCTTTGGGAGTGATATCTTGGTTTTGCTCGTAGTCAAGGGCTGGTTGAGGAGTCCCGGACAGGATTGAGGGTCTTCTTAATGGGATCCTCGACTGGATACGAACGGGTGCTTTCGCTTCATAGGTGTAACATGCTGGGTGTTCAATTCAGCTCTCGTCCCGGATAGCAACATAAATAAATGTCGGAGACTGCACGTCGACAGATGAGTCATATCCTGCAGGCATGTCGAACAAATAAAGCGAGAGATTATGTATAATATTTGACTCATTCAGGCAAAACTAGCCTTACTTGGCCACCGATTGAGCTGTCTATACGATGGCGGTCTTGGCAAACCTCGGATGCTGTGGCTTTACTTCCAAGGGAATATCATTCCGATCTGTCCATTTGGTAACAGTCGACTTTCCGGCATTCGTTCGGAATTATCTTTCTCCACACCATGGCGCAGCAGCTTCCTCGAGTTCATTACTCCGGAGTATATAGGAGGAGTCCGCTGTGACAGACATGCGGGGGTGGGGATACCGCAGCCCGTTCCACGGTTCTTGAAGTGAAGCTTTAAGTGTCGCGGTCATAGCTGCATCATCACCTCACTTAAATAGCTTATGCTATCCCCAACCCACCAGCCATGAAGCAGGAGAGCTTTGTATCGGTGATCAACAAACATATTACTCACTATCTTAATTCTATTGAACAGCATTGTGTGCTCTACTAAGTCGACATGCCTGCGGACGCTTTCGGCCAGTATGTCGATATCCAGATCGAAGATGGCATGAAATATGATCTGCGCATCGAAAACGCCCACCTTGACAGGTATGTACGCAGTGCTTCGGTGCTGCCTCTGCTGTTGTTGACATTGGTTCAGCGGGCAATTCTATCGGCAAGGGGACCAGAGCGATATCATGACAGCCGACGATGTGGATGATATGATCATCCGTCACAATGGCGGCATCAGAGACATCTGTTCATGTGGCGAAACCGACTCTATGTCGGGAACCCAAGGAACATTCGATCTCATGGACGATGTGAAGGACGCCCGCATCTGCACGCTGGCATGGAGCGCTCCCATGCAGACGGGAAGACGGAATATGTTCAAGATGCTCAACCATAACTCGAACTATAAAGTTGATATTGGAGATTGGCAAGAGTCCGGTACCATGGGAACCGTCACTGTTGCCATTAAAGATGAGTGATTTTCGATACTCGGACGAGGCCAGTCGCTTTTTCATTTGATCCCCCCCAGAAAAGAGGAAGAAAAAGGAGCAACTTGGAAATACTTAGTTGTCAGTAATCAAGGACTGAAAAATGTTCAAAAAACCCTCATTGCTCTAGTGTCAATTTCATGGAAGGCTTAATGTCACTGCCATTGGTATCATTTATACTCTCACGAGAGCGTGCATAGTCTATAATGCTTGTTGTTCTATCTTTTGATAATATAAACCGCGACACCACAACCAACATGCACCAGGTCAAACAAAGTCTCCCAACTCATGCGAAACCAAGTGCGCCTCACCCAGAACCCCCTTGATCACCAGTACTAATTCATCGATGGTGCCGAGGAATTTAAGATACGCGCTCATGGCCACGCAGAAGCGGCGGTAATGCTCATCCCGCACTGTATCTGGAGAGAAGTCGATCTCTGTCGGGTGGGACTGCCAGTAGTCGAAGGCCCGTCGGACGAGTGGCGTGGGTAGAATCTCAGGCAATGCATCGCCTGTCTTCAGCGCCTGTTCACACATCCCCAGGACAGCCATGATCTCGCCAATGCATTGGTGGTCCAGTAAGGCGGTTTGTTGCGTGAGTCGATGTTGAAACTCGCTCGGGAGGTTACCAGATAACACCAATAGCTGTCCCAGATTACGGTTCATGGCATGGCAGAGCAGCTTCACGCGGCCCAGACTCTCACTGTCGAAGCGGGAGCTCGAGAAGTCGAACCGTAGCATCTCGATAGGGCCGTCGAGCATGACCAGCCCTTCACTCAACTGTAGGGTGATTGACTCGGCGATTACACGCCCATCGTGGCGGGAGCGGCCCCAGCACGATAAGAGCAAGGCATAATGGTCGGACAACGTCCGGATCGTGTGAGATAAAGTCTTGCAGATGTGTCGGGCGGCCGATGGCGGACGGGGGAACAGCTGGACAATCGTCGCAGCAGCAACGCCGATCAGGACGAGAAGTAGCCGTCGCCAAAAGACGGTATAGCCAACTCCAGGGTTGCCGTACTGTGGAATGTGCCTGATTGAAAGGTTAGCAGAGGAAGTGGCGCTATGTGACATGGAAGGAGGGACTCACGTATCATCATAGCTGTATGCCACCACCAGCATAAAAGTGGCACCGCCCATAATTGCCCCTTGAAGTAGGCTCGGGGACACATAGAGACGAATCCACATGAAGATCGCCAGCAACACGGCCATAACGGCCGATAATCCGTAGGGATTGCCAGGACCGTTGGCCGAGCCGATATACCATGCCAAAAGCCCGAGAACACCTCCAGCAACCGTCCCAATCAGTCGCCCGATAGTGGAAAAGGTAAATTCCGACATGTAGACAAGCAAACCGGTTTGTGCCATGATCAACCCCCAGAGGCCCTTTTCCCGATAGTAGAATGCAGCAGTATGGGGAATGACACCGGGGATGCCTAGGGCGATGGTAACAACCACCATGCGTAAGGCGAAGACGCCTTCGTTCGAAGTAAACCAATGATAGGTTCCTAAAATCGCTCGTCCCAGGGCGCTGCGGTGTTTGGGTCGATATCCACGACTGATACGAAGCTTTTCTTGGGCAACTTTAGTCAAGTCCTCTGCCTCGTCGGGATCGTCCTCCACAACCATGGCCGCGGTTGGTGTCTTCGCTTTCTTCCGAAACGCCCAGGAGGCGGCATATCGAAGGCTTGTCGGCCACCATAGCTTGGTTCCTTTGGAGTCGTGGAAAGCCGTCGATACGCGAGCGAGGAGAGCCTCTGTGCGAGTGATTGTAGTACAGACGTGTTCCTCGAAGACCATCCCAACGACAAGTGCTCCTAACTTGCGCTGGTCACGAGAGTCGCCATTTGTCGTCGGTGCGAAATGCCCAATGAGGAGCTCTGTCATATCGTGCAGAAAGCCGCTGTGAGCCTTCCGGAGAGTCTCGAGTGCTGTCTGGCTTCGCTGGTACAGTTCCTCGCGTTCGGTTGGGGACGCTCGTCTCACCCATCGCCGGCAATTGACCATATGAAGGCACTCCCTTGTCACTGCCAATCCCTCTAGACACGCGTCGATAGCCATTGCGCTCGTGCGGACCAGTTCATCGACGACCTCTTGGGACAGCTGCTGGCTGTCCGGGCTGTGCAACCCTTCCAGAAGCTCCACGAGTTGGGAGAGCTGCTGGGCTCCAACCTTGCGGGGCTGCTTCTCGTCCGTGATAACAGCCTCCTTTGTTTGTTCGGCATGTTCGCGAAGGATGTCGTCCGTGCGCGCTTCCCCATGGATCCGACCGATGTGGAATTCAAGCAGAAGAATAATAGCCGCGACGGCCTGACGCATCGGCTCCTTGAACGACGCGACATCTTCGGGGCCCCAGAGGCCTACGGAGAAGTCCAATGGCAGAAAGGCCAAGCCAGGCTCCATCTCTCGATATTTCTGGATAATCCGCGCATGTGTCTTGCGTAGTCGGTCGACGTCCGGTTGCAGTGCTTTCTTCCCTAGCGTGACGGAGGTGAACGCCAGTGGCTGTTGGAGTAGCTCCAAGATATCCTCCATACTATCCAGCACCACATGTGAGGTCGATCGGGGAAAGAAGAGTACCGAACATGCAAAGCCGAGTCCCACACCGATGGCGGCCGGTTTCACGAGCGTCACAGGCAGCGTTCCCGAGAACGAGGGCAGAAGGGGAATAAAGTTGAGAAAGATGTCCGAGATGATGATTCCGAAGACGGAGGTCAAGGCTGCTTTGGGATTACTTGCGCGCAGACGAGCCTATGCATGGTTATTACACTTCTCGCTGGTCAGTTTGTATCACGGCAGAGGATCGCCTACCATGAAGTAGATGAATGTGCAGATGAGACAGAATGTAACCGCCGTGACCCGCGTGTCCAGCATGTAGCCATCGTAGATAAGTTGTTGTACCACACTGGCAGGCGGAAGTCCTGTCGCATTGGCTTGGGCCACCGCCGTCTGTTGCAATGATGCAAGTCGGGCCTGCGTGTCTGCTGCTGGTCTGGCTGCGAAAGCGGCCTTCATCGTGATGACGCCCCATGCCCAAGCCAGACACATTCCAATAATCAGAGTCAGGGCTCCCAATAGGTAAATGAACACGATCCCGGACGGCGGGAGGATCAGGAGGACCATGCTATTGATTCACATCCTCAGCATTGCGATCGAGGGACATATGCGCTCAAAAGAAAGATACAATAATCGGCCATTGGGTAGCTTTACCTCGCAAAGAAAGTCGCGGTGCCAATGCTGGTCAGCGATGGGGTGATGAAGATTAACAGACTCGCCACCCAAATGCCAACCCAGCACCGGAAGAAGACTTTGAGCTCCCGCGCATTGAAGTGATCGAGGAACGCGGGGAGCCGGAAACTCTTCTTCGGGATTGCATTATTCGTATTGGAATCAATAGTGGCCGGTGGAGGCCGTTCGGACATCGCTGAGAGTGATCTTTCTCAGCCTGCGCTGGTGGTCATCAAGGATCCACGAGTGTGACGAAGATTGAAAGATATCTGAAAGCAAGGGGTAGGGAATGCAGAAAAACCTCCCAGTGGGAGGGGGGAATTCATCATTAAGTAACATAAGGCTGGCCTTCCAATAAAGTCCACAGAAAAGTGCAGATCCTTTCTTAGTCTCAATAGTTCCACATCGCGCCCAGGATTTCGGGGTGCAGATCGATATCCGGGGTTGTCTTATGCCGGCATTTATGCGCTCGGCTTATGCATTAGATTACGTACTCGGACCTGGCTAATGCATTAAAGCTGGCAAATGAGCAGCAATGCCAGTTTTTGGGTCTGTATGGTTGACTTTTTTACCCCTTTTATGTCTTCAGGCTATTTGAACATGTTCCTGCTTGGGGCTCTGTGGGTTGGCCCACCTCCTGCTATTGAACTTGGCCTCTATTTATTTCTATATTTGCATCCGTACGACCCAAATAAGATTCTACCCCTTTATGAAAGTGCCACGTTGAGGAATCTCTTTCGCGGGATGGAATGCCACGTTCCGGTCCTTTTCCATAGACATCGCCGTCCCTGCTGTAATGGTATTCAATCACGAGTGACATCTCAACCTCGCGGAGGAATCCGCACAAGGTGACCTAAGCAAAGATGATCGGGAGAAGGGGCTCATATAAATCAATTGAAGTTGTGATGGACATCCGGTAGACTAGTATGCGTAGCAATGAGGCAGTACGGGTATGATGATTCAACCGTTTAAATACTTTTCCCGTCGAAAGGTACAGCCGACCTACTTTGTTATTAGGTGCGCAGCCGGCTGTGAACTGTAGTTAAGGATGGTCGCTGATTGTCTCCTGCAGGTTGGATCAGAACACCATTTGGATCCCTACAGCAGGGCATACGATTAAGTACGGCCATGCTCCAGGCAAAGTTATTCTATGCCTCAGTGAACCTACGCGAGTGTGCGATATCAAGTTGCATCTTGAGGGGCGCTACTATATTAAGTATGTGACATGTTCACCACGTTTAGGAGAACGAAACTATCACTGACCTAATGTGTTCTCCAGCTGGGACGCAACGTTCCCCAGTGACTCACATCGACATTGCAAAGCTTTTTGGAAGGAGTTGCCCTTCCATCACGATGTCTGGAGCTTTCTGCGGGTGTCGGCAGGAAGATCCACAACAATCTTGGGGCCGGGTAATTATGAATTTCCTTTTGAAATGTGCCTTCCAGGACGGTTACCGGAATCTATGACGGGTGTGGATGACTATTATATTCGGTATTCTTTGAGAGCACAGATCTATGGCCGGAAAGGTGAGAGTGTAGTCACATCGAGAGAGATCAGCGTTCGAAAGGTATACGATACGCCTTTGCGTACTGTTCCCACTGTAAGTAACTCACCCTACAAGACAGCCCCAGAGCTTCAGGAGCTAATATTAGGTAGAGCATCGAGAACGATTGGCCGAACAAGATAATGTACCAAGTCAGCATCCCAACCCCGGTTGTCCAATTCGGCGGCAACATACGAGTCACATATCGGTTCGTTCCTTTGCTTAAGAGGCTGCACTTAAAAACCATTAGATCGGTTATCATTGAAACGCACACGGTATCGAAACCAGCTCCTGCTTCTCGATCTCGGGAGGTTTTGGTCGATGCATTTGACCCTCCCACTTGGGAAGATATGGGTTTAACTACCGACGACAGATGCTGGTATCAATGCTCCCGGCTGCTTCATTTACCAACGTCTACCCAGCAGTGTCTACAAAGCACCGCAGCCACGGTCCTGCAGGTTAGGCATTCGATACATATTTCAATCACTCTGTTGAACCCTGATGGTCATCTATCCACGGTAAGTTAGCCGTTTCTATTCACCCAGTCTGGTACACCATCCTTATCGCCGGTAGGTCCGTCTTTCACTCCCAGTATATATACTTTTCTGTCCGCCGGCCAGCGCCAGCCGCCAGGCGCTGTTAGATATTTCGACTTGGGACGAGGGAGAAGAAGTTCCGCCCCAGTATAGCAACCATGTCCATGATGCGAAGCTGGTTGAAACATGCCCAGATAATCCTTCAACATATGACGGGCACGAATCCAACGCAAAGCCCCCCGAATACGCGGTATTAGATGACGCATCCGGAATTCCCAGTTATTGGGATACTGTTTAATCAAGTATACTCACACTCTTTCAGTGATGGCATCGTGCTGTCCCAGAGGAGTCTGATGAAACCCGCGACGGAGGACTAAATTTGTAGCATTTGCCCACAACTGACCCTTTCCGTGTCGAGAGTCAACGCGGCGAATGCTGGGTGCTTTTTTCTATATAGCTCTGGGTCCGAGGCAATTCCAGTCCGTTTTACTATGGATTGAAGCTATGAATGGATGAATTGAGACGTACGATTTATAAGGAAATGGAGGCGGTGCGCAGAAGGAATCCTCCGCTTGAATGCTTTAATCGGCATCTTCTTACGAGACAGAAGTGAGCTCGTCATAGCCGTATTCTGGACGACGACCACCGTCAAGGTGGTTCCGCATAGCTTTATCTACACTTGGACTTCACAAATCTCCTTTGCGTAATGCACATTGAGCCTATCAGGATATTATGGTGTATCATACATCTTTCATACTTAGTGCGGTGAAGTCGTCCAACATGACTGGATACCAGGGATTGAATTGTTTCGTGGCCAGGGGGTCTGGCTGAAATATACCTATCGGCTAAAAGAAAGATCTAGTGTATTTCCAAGTATACATTGGTCTTAAAAAAGACCCTTGCGTTCTTTTTCAAGACTGACCTGTCATTCTGGAGGAAATCAGACGCACAGGCGTGTGTCTCAGGCCACGCATAAGATATATGCATCTTGAAATCAACGATGCGATGTCACTGTGCATGACCCGTCTATTGCAGCATTGTTACACAAGATCAGTAATCCTTGTGCAACAATGTAGTTAATCTTGCAGGACAGGATGGAAGCCTCGTGTCAGATCTCAGGGGCGTCCTCCCAGCTTATTATATACTGGGTCGCATAGCGCCTTCCTACCCGGCACACATTTCAATCGATAATAGGCATTTGTGAAGCAGTCACATCATCATGGCCATCGCTTCTTCTGAACAGTTCCGGAGCGACTTGGTTCAAGTGAGTAAGCTGGCTACAGATTGTATGTCCCAAACAGGGCTTGCTCCCGAGGCTGCCGAAAGAATTTTACAAGTACGTATGGATCAAAGTACATTATCCTCTGGTTCATGTCAACCAGCTAATATGCACAAGTGTCTTGTTCTCACAACAAAAGGCGGAAATATCCTACGTGGCCGTACTGTTCTTGACAGTGGCTGGATGCTGAATGGTCAAAATCTGTCCCCAGTCCAAAACGAGGACTTAAAAGTACTTGGGTGCCTCGTCGAACTACTCAGCGCTGCATATTTGATCTGGGACGATATTATGGACGGATCTTTAACCAGGCGTGGCCAGCCATGCTGGTATCGCCGCGAAGCTGTTGGCATGATGGCTATCAACGACGCGTGTCTTGTGAAATCTGCAATTTACGTCACGCTCAAGGAACGCTTCCATGAACACGAAGCGTATATAGACCTTTACGAGCTGTTTGCTGAAGCATCCCTACGGACTGAGCTTGGACAGCACTGTGATCTCATGTCTTCAGCAAGGTTAGTGGAGCTCGATCAGTTTCGCTGGGATCATTATGAGTTTATCACCATGCACAAAACAGCTTTCTATACCTTTTACCTTCCCGTGGCCATTCCTCTTGTTTACTTGCGCATTGCAACATCTGCGAAGCTAAAGCAAGTATATGAGATATCAATGCTGCTGGGCCTTGTCTTTCAGGCCCGAGATGACTTTCTGGATGTCTATGGGGATGAGAAAGTTACTGGAAAGATTGGTACCGACATCCAGGAACACAAATGCAGCTGGCTTTCAGTCATGGCCTTACAGCATTGCAACGATGAACAAAAGAGCGTATTGAGAAACTGCTATGGTTCCACGAATGAGGATGATGTTGCAAAGGTCAAAGGCATCTTTCAAGAGCTGAACCTGATCAAGATCTTTTATGATTGGGATAAGGAGATGTTAACGAAGATCAACACCATGGTCAACGAGATGGCAGATCTACCGTTAAAGGAGGTATTTATAGAGTTCCAGTCAAAATACTTTCGAGACCCGCGAAGGAGTTTAACCCAGTCCATTGCAAATGATATTGTTACCAATCAAGCACTTGAGAGCCATCTGAATGGCTGAAACACAGAAGACGACGAAAGCAACATCAAATCCTGCGTTTCCTCTCTGGCTCAACGTTGCAAACTCTTCTACCACACAGCACTGCAAAAACGGATGAGAATAGTTGGCTAGGGTAGTTCGCCATAGAGAATCAGTTTATATTTCATATTTTTGACAGTGGGACAATATTATTATGTTGTACATCTTAATATCTTTCTTTTCATGTATATTCTGATCTCTATTCCCGCCCCTCCGAGGGATTCATGTTGTGAATCCAGGTTCTACATGGGAGATGATAAGGGCCTCGTATACTGAATTCATTCTGTTTCTGCCGTTGTTCACGTTTCAATGCAGACCGATTGGAAATCCATTTGGGCTTCACTCGGTGTATGTGTCTTTTCGAATGAAAATGAAAGCAATCAATCTTCCTTCTGAAGTACAACAGTTTCGTCTTGATACCTGTTGTGTTTCCCTTTGTAGTATATCCTGCTCCAGCCCGGTTCTTTTCGCTGACTTCCGCGGCGAGGTGTTATGTCAAACTCTGATGCTTTATGATCGCATGTGCATATTTTAAGTGCAGGGGCATATATGCAAAATTCATCAAATCAATGCAAGCAAGGCATATTGAGGGATCGTCTATGTCTATCCTATACGAATTCGTTTGTCCCAATTCATTGCGGTGATGGTGACAGCCAGCAGCCTCCTGGTCCCTCCATAGCCCTTCGTCAAAGTCACTGAGAGGATGCGACACGACGATGCACAATCGACTGGAGTCTTCGATTCCAAACTGTATGCCACCTGCCAGAAACAGCGATGTTGATGTGCAGCCTCATCGATGGCCTCCTCGTGCTACAATTCAGACTGGGTTGTCTCGGATGGTTGCCGTAAAGTCGCCCAAAAAGCAACGCTAGCATAGGAATACTTTAGACCTTCGGTGTGCAGGGTGTAGATAGGATATCTATAAGCTGTGACCACTCAATTGGCCCTCCGTTGTCTCCTCTGTGTGGCGCACTGAACAAAATGGCTGCATTTATCGCCAAGGCATCCCTGTGCCGCTTGGTCGGTCTCAAACGTTCCACCAGACATATATTTTCCTGCTTGTCCAACGGAAACATATGTCAGACTTGGTGCATTGTTCTTTCATCATGGAGGTTCACTCTGGGAGTCATATAATGTATCGATGGACAGTCCTGGTAAATATCTGAAGCCGGGGGTTGGGTTTGGGAGCCAAGTGTAGGGAGAGGGTGGGGAACGAACTCGCGATGCAGCTAGCAATCGGAGAGACTCAACTCCTCCGGCTCGACGACCGGGGAACTACTGTGGGAGCGGTGGTTTACTATTGCCAGCTGGGCCGTTTGGTGCGATTCCGCCGGTGGGAACTCGGTGGATGCAATGAGCAATTAGGGTTGCCGTCTTCTCTCGATCGGGATCTCCCCATACAGGCACCCGGAGCCACCAGTTTCCGAATCATGTCTGCTGCACCCCAGGCAGATATTTTGTGTCATCCTTGGTTATAGTAATCAATTATGATAAATAGCCTTCCGAATGATAGATGGGAGGATCCGAATAGAGAACATGCGGTGGAGCTTACTCTTCCCCATGGCCGTGGTAGCCGTGGCACAGTCTTCATCCGGTCAAGTCGCCTTGGGTAGGACTTGAATCATGTTGTGGGGCGGCGTGCGAAGCGAGAGTTGTGGACCCAATGCTCCGCCAGGATCTGTCGTGACTCTAACGTACGGACACTCCAGAAGAACTAGTAACGCGTATGCGTGATGTACGGAGAAGAAAGGAGCCTGTTCCCCGTAAATCTGTCAGAAGAAACCCCCAAACGGTATTCATGGGGCGGCCCAGATTCTGTATAGGAATTCGACCTCAGTTGACATGTAACAGGTGGGGCTTACAATTAATTATGCAGTGTGGCATTTCAATTGTGTGAATAGAATATTTGCTTCAATTTCGTGCCGATCGTAGATATGAATAAAAATAAGTGACTAGAGCACTACCCTGGGCAATAGATATTATGTACACCAGTCCCCCACCAGGATTCGTTTAGCTCATCAGCGTAACAGGAAAGGCAGATCAGATCTACAATGCTGCTTCTACGTGCTCAACCTGTTTCACCTTCAGGTCACCGAGGTCGTCCTTGTTCTCCAACTGCGTAATCTGGGCCCCCAGACCCGTGCAAACATACGTAGAGAACTCTCTCGTGGGGATCTTGTTCTGGAACATTTCGTCCAGCTCCTCCAGGGACCGGTCTTTGGTCTCGGGCAGCAGGAAATACACAAAAGCGATCGCGGCAACGGAGAAGCTGCCGTAGATAAATGTGACACGACCGCCGATAGACGCTTGAACGTATGGATTCACGAAGTTGATGGGAACGGAAGTGACAAAGCTGCCGAGCGATGCCAACAGCAGGGTCCGTTCTCGCAATTGCCCCGTTCCGATCTCACCGGACAGGATCCACACACCCGGCCCCCATGATAAACCGTAGAAGACATACCACAGAATGAGCATCGCGACGCACCCGTTCTGGGCCATCGCGGTGAGGTTGGACGTCCCGTATGCGCTGGCGCCACCGACCCCCATCATCATGGCGGCCATGAGCAAAGCACCCACAAGCATGTTGACCCGCCGTCCGAGCTTGTCGAAAGTGTATAGCGAGATGCAGTTCGCCACCAGACCACAAGTCTGGACAATGACGTTCGACTTCAATGGATCCGGAAACCCCAATTGCTTCATGAACGTCACGATGAAGTTGTTGATAAACGAGATACCCTGAGCCTGCTGCAGGATTTGTACACCCATCGCGATGATGGTTCGTCGCAGGTTCACCCCGCGAAAGCAGTCTAGTACACTGGTTGCCTTATGGAATTCAAGCTGTTCTTCGAGCTGGAGTTGTAAGAGTTGGATTTCCTCGCTGGCGTTGTAGTCGGCCCCAAACAGAACTTTCATGGACGCTTCGGCTTCCTGCAGCCGTCCGCGATACACCAAGTATCGAGGGGTCTCGGGGAGAAAGGGATATCCCAGCACGATGCCTAGTGGAACCAAAAGCTGACAGAGAATGACCGTGCTACGTGTTGGTTAGTCAATGCAAGCAGTTCAAGAGCAAATGGGTGCAGAGAAGGCATGACACTTACAGATAGGCCCACTCGCCTTTGATATTCTGGCAGAGGAAAACCACCAGCGTTGCGAGGAAGCCACCAAATGTATTCCAAATCGAGTATGCTGTCAGAAACGCCCCTGGACGAAAATGGTCAGCATCCACCTTCTGTCTGCCGAGAGATCGCTTGAGCACTGTACGAACCTCTAACCTTGGTGGGAGCACATTCGGACTGATACATCGGCACCACATTGGAAGCTACACCGATGCCGGAATACACCACAATACGGCCAACAACCAGTTGCCAGAAGGAGGTGACGGCGGAAGCCTCCAGAACCGTTCCAACGGTCAGAAGTCCCGACATCACCAATAATGTCGGTTTCCTACCCAAATGCGAACATAACCACGGAGCTGCGAGACATCCGAGAATGATACCAGCCGAACCGGTACCTGTGCCGGCCGACTGCTTCTCCGATGGAAGAACGTATCCACCGGTGCTTGGATCATATACTCCGTAATGTTTGTTAAACTGCTCGAGACCTAACGCACCTCCCCACCAGGAGTTGTCAAAGCCGAATCCCATAGCGCCTAAGGAGACTAAGCATCCGATGAATACGAGACGGGCATTGAGCTCCTGATACAGAGCGGACTGCTGGAAGGACCCCAACATCTTGCTGACGGTCGCCAAATCGGCACAATTAGAGTAAGTGGAAGGTGAGAATAATAGATGACATGCACATCGCGACGGTACAAGAGTTTCCGCGGCGTACTTATACTTATCAAGAACACACCACGTCAAGTCGGCACAGCGGAAAGCGGAGCGGTATACGGACCAGACCGATGGCTCATGAGACTAACGAAGCTACCGACGCCATCAGCTTAGGGTTGGCACCGTTCTTGGTAGCCTGGTGCTTCCCCCATACTGTCTATTGGGGATAATTGTACGCCCGCGGGGATTGAGTTGGGAACAACCAGGGCTAACTCCACGAGATTGGGGGAAGCCGGAACCCCCATGGGGCTTTTCTGAGTGGATTAAATTGGCCAGGAGTGAAACTGTGGGGAATGTCTCTCTCGGGCTCGAACCTGAAGTCTTGGAGCTCCCGATGAAACTCCCGATGCAATTCCGGCTTGCTTGGAACTGCCTGTTTCGGCCCGGCCTGGGCCCACCCCGGTTCTTCGTCCTGGCGAAGTAGTTGGTGGCTGCAACTGCCTGTTTCGGCCCACGGTGGATGCTGGTGCTATCCTCGCAACGTGTTCGCATATGTGGACTTCTGTCCTGGGCATGTCGTCATATTTCTTATCTCTCGTGGTCTGGGGATTTGAAATAAGTAGCGAATCCCTTACGGTTCCCAGCAAGGTTGAGAAACTCATCGCATTTCCGTTGATTGACTGCAGAACTCACCATGGCATACGCTGAGCGTCTTCAGACATTTACCTTTAAGCCACGGGTATTCATCCTTAGCGATATCTCCAATGAACCCGACGATGCCGAATCACTGGTTCGGTATCTTCTCTACTCGAATCAGTTCCAGACAGAGGGATTGGTGGCCTGTACATCGACCTGGATGAAAACCAAGGTGTGTCCACAGGACATGCATAAGATTGTCGACGGCTATGAAAAGGTAGTCGATAATCTGAATGCCCATGTACATCCGCAGGATCCCTATCCGACGGCGGAATATATGAGGGGTCTGATTAAGAAAGGCGCTGTGGTAAGTCTCCCTGCAAATATGGGCTTTCCGTCGGTGAATCGACAGCTGACCCAAGTGCGATAGACATATGGCATGTCCGCGGTCGGAGACGATATTCCTCTCAGTGAGGGCGGTCAATTATTACTAGAGCGCATCGAGGCTGATTTGAATGAGCCTCTCTGGATTTTATGCTGGGGCGGCACCAATGTACTGGCCTCGGTCTTGCTCAAGATCCAAAACACCAAGTCCGAAGAAGTTGCGGCAGCACTCCGATCGAAGCTGCGTGTCTATACGATCTCCGACCAGGACGATACCGGTGTATGGATTCGCAACAAATACCCTGATCTCTTCTATATTTGTTCGGTTCATGGATGGAATCAATATGGCATGGCAGCATGGTGCGGTATCTCCGGCGATGGCTGGTATGGATTTGATAAAGGCGGTCCTGATCCAAGCAAGATCAGCAAGGAATGGATCCGAGAGAATATCCAAATTGGACCTCTTGGCTCCACATACCCGGACTACATGTTCATCCCCGAAGGTGATACCCCAACCTTCCTCTACCTCATTCAGAATGGGCTTGGAGTGCCAGAACATCCGGAGTGGGGCTCATGGGGAGGTCGATACATCGCGACGGATATCAGCGCCAAGGGCCTTCGCAATGGACACTACAGTGACACTGTCGATGAAGCGGTTGGGTTAGACGGACGGACGCACAAGTCCAACCACGCGACGATCTGGCGGTGGCGTGACGCTTTCCAAAACGACTTTGCGGCGCGGATGCAGTGGACACTCTCGCCTGAGTTGAGCAAGGCCAATCACCAACCAGTCATCATCCTGAACGGCAGCAAAGGATTAGAACCCTTACATCTCGAGCTAGAGGCTGGTTCGACATTCGAGCTCGACGCCTCGGAGACATACGACCCGGACACAAACGATTCACTTACGTTCAGATGGTATCAGTACAAAGACCCGAGCGCGACACAGTGGTCCGTCCATCACGAAGTTGGACAGCTGACATTTGAGCCACTCAACACCGCTGGAAGCAAGGTCAAAGTAACTGTGCCGCCACCAGAAAAGTGCTGTCTGGAGCTCATTAGTCGCGAAGCGCTCCCTAGAGGGCAGTTATTGCATATCATATTGGAGGTGAAAGACAATGGAACACCACCGTTGACTAGCTACCGACGAGTCACTGTCCAGACTTTGAACGAGAAGCTGCTTGGCGGCGGCGGTGGTGCAGAGGCTATTGGCGATGTTATGAGAGACATGATGTAACACGATGTGATGTAGACAAATTTATTAATTGATTCAAGACATTAACAGATCCTTCAATTGTCCGTTATTTTCACTGCTAGCCACTCACTCCTACGTACTTCAGGGGCATAGTCCGACCCTTCACTGCAAGTACGGCAAAGGTTTCAGTCCATTACTTTATTCTGGTCAACCCACGCCCGGATGTCCCAAAAATTCCGACATTTGTGCATGGTATTGAAATCGACATAGCGACCCAGAGGCGCTGTATCATCTGCCACGATCATTACCGGTGTAACATCAGCCGTGCACATCATGTTTAACCGCAGCGTCTCGAGGCAATGGTCTACGCGGTTGTTAAGAAAGGGTAACGTCGTGATTTAGGATAGATACACAGATACTCACCGATATGCGTGGCTGTAATATTAGCGTGCTCCGGCTCAAACTGGGCCGCTGGATACCCGAATTCTTCCTCGTATTCCTTCTGATAGATCTTTAGTCGGACCATGTGCTATCCGTCTCCGGTCAATAAGTTGTCTCAAGCGAGTGGCAGAATGTTTGACCCACCAAGCAGTGCAGCTGGTGAAACACTTCCAGGTACCCTATGTAACCGTCGCCTTTATCCTCGGGAGTTCGGAGCCAGTTCACGGTGGAAGACTTATTCAGCAACGGGAGTTTCGTCTCTGGGATATTGATGCCCGGTGCTGAGGAGCTCAGCTTCAATCTAGCGACTGCAACATATATTCTCAAATTGAGGATCTGTCATACCTATGAACAATTTTTTCCATTCTGCCTCTGTTGTGTTGGTAGGCCGTCCTCGGTAGACGGACGGTTGTTCAAAATCACCAGCTATGTTATAGGACGTATATCGGATGATCCCTGCTTCTATAATGGGTGCTATTCCGAATTCAGCTACCATACAAAATGTCTATATGTCCGACGCACGTACAGTAGGATGAAAGGCGGGAGGTGCACGCCTGATCTGTAGCGACTGTCTGGTACCTGAACGCGAGAAACCCAAACGTAGTGAAAAAGAAAGCCAGCTGGAGGAACCAGGGCAATGTGCGCGCCAACAAGGAATGAGGGGGAGGAGACAATGTATTAGATCCCACCTGGGCGTATTGCTTCCTCTGGAGTGACACGTGTGCTGAGTTTCTAATGTCCTCTAAGAGGCGCCTCATGGTGGTCGGGCCGCACGATGAAGCTCCAGGCCAGCCTAGAGGGGTGCAAGATAGACAAGAGTGCAATTGCGGTAGTAGGATCGAATGCACACGGCACAAACCCTTCTGTTCTGTGCAAGGATAGATATCCTCGTTGAGCAATGAATCTAGGTATTCTGACTGCATACAGTATATCCTGATTCTTCATTCAAGATCATATTTTAACATCTCCATATCATGTCACCGAACAACGTTACATTGCATGAGATACCCCAGAGCCGTTGGATGAAATCCCTGTTTGGCCCAAAGTGCGTCAATGCCCATCCACGCGTAGCGAAGTGAATAAAGGCAAAATGATCGGAGGACTATAATATCCCGCATGCCTTGAGCGTCTGCCGTGGTTACATCTTCCTTCTCAACAGCGAATTTCTCACCGCGAAGGCCAACACCACACACAAGGACATGCTCATGCCCTTAGGCGTCCTAAAACTCGTATGGCTGTAGCTAGACAATCACTAACATGATGAGTTCAGCGATGGATCATGTTCCCGGACCATTTATCTTGGGTATAAGTCCTGCAGGTCTTAGCTAATCCCATTCATGCAAGAGGAACAATATCGCCGATCAAATCACCTACATGGGCCAAGAGAATATGCATCCACAACAACGCATAATATAGAAGATACGCCGGCGGATACCGTTCCTTGGCGGCTCAAGCCCCTCACACAGGATTTCCTGGTTACTTAAGATCTATCCTAGCGCTTACGTGAACATGGGAGAAGGTCATGAGAATGACAATCTGTTTGGCTTGGTAGGGAAGGGTAGCGTGACTAAAATCAGGATAATGGAGGCAGACCATTTTTCTCAACCCATTCGCGAATCTCCCAAAAGCTCCGACACGTATGCATGGTATTGAAATCGGGGATTCGTCCTTGAAAGGCGTGGGGGTCATCTATAAACACCAACGGTGTCACATCTGAGGTGCACATAAGAGTAATGCGTAGGAGTTCAATACAGTGATCTGAGTATTGCGTTAGTAATCGATGCTAGATAGTGATTGTCTGGCTCGCCAGTGGTGGCAGAAGTACCTATATGAGTCTGCTTAACTTCCTCATTCCCAGGGCCACTTCCATCTGGCCACTCGCCGAAATACTCGTAGTAGCTGTTCTTATGGACCTCCTGACGGAGGGTATTCTAGCCAGGATCCAGTCAATAATTGATTGTACAATACAAGACTGGACAGGGACTTACTATGCAATGTAACTGGTGGAAGACCTCAACCAAAGCAGCAAATTCGTCCACGGCACCATGATCAGAAGTACGAGGAGCACGGAACCAATTCAAACCTGCTGGTCCGGACTTATTGAGTACCTCTAGTCTTTCCTCTGGTACTCCGATTGCAGGAGCTATCTGACTTAGTGTCGCGTCTATGTTGGAGAAGTGGTGCAGCTTACTTTCCCAGAGTCCTTTCCACGATGCTTCTGTCAGATCGTTTGGCTTTCCACGATAGTTCGAAGGTTTGTCAAATTCGTTGGCGAAGTTTTTGGAATCATACTTAATAGACCCTTCTTCTATAAGTGGAGCTGAGGTTTGCGTTAGACTATATCATGATAGTATTATGCCTAAGGCAAGCATGGTATGTAGATGGGGGACGATGAGGGAGAGCATACAGTATGGCGATAGTTGGCGGGTACATTGCAGGGTGCTTGGCTTCATGGTAAATGCCACTAGGGCCAGTGTGAGAGACACGCACAAGGCCAAAATGTGAAGGATCCAGGTCAGACTACCACTCCGCGGGATGAAGGATTCCTCTTTCAAAGAGATATGCTGTTCAAGGAATGACTGGGTAGGACTCGAGCCCTCCTCCGAAGTACGTTCGGGCGATCTTTGAGGTACCATGACTGTCTTCCTTGCTGGTTGCAGCAAAGGCAGGATGTCTGAGATGAACCGATGGAGAACAGGCAGTGCTCGGTGGTATGGCGACTGGTCGGATACTTCTATGATTTAATTTGCTGCGATCAAACAACCATAACAAATAGCGCGCCATGAGACAGATCCTTCTAGCAAAGGATCAGATAACCTGGCGTGGCTTAATGTAACGTTACTGTATTTTGCTCCGGGGCACGGGGATGATTTGCATCCGACTACAGATGTTATGACTGGTTAAGTGACGAAGCTTTCGTAGATTGATTAGGCCATTGAAATACGTCTCACCTATCCTCAACGCTATATAAGTACCCTAACCTTACGGCCCCAAGTTGTCCCATACTGCAAGTGACACAAACCAAAGCCGTTCCAATTTTCAATTTGAAGCCTTTAGCAAGAGAGACTTGAGCGAAAATGAAGACCTTCCTGCCCCTTGTTTCGCTCCTGATGGGTGTCGGCATGACATCTGCTGCCCCTACCTCGAAAGTATGGACGGATCCAAAGCCCATAAGTGCGAAGTATAAGAATTAATGAATGCGAACAGGTCGCCGCTGAAAACGACGTCGCCCCGGAAAGCGCACACTCATTCAATATCAACGCCTACAGTCCGCCACCCGCCGATCACAAGGTCAATGATGCCTTGCACCGCAGGGAAGAGGTTACCCCAGAAGGTGCAAATCTATTCATCATTCATTCCTATGGTGATCGGCCTTCAGAGCGCAAAGTCGAGAATACCTTGGAGCGTCGAAACGAGGACAACGCTGACGGCGCACGTCTCTTCAATGCTATCGAGGCCTATACTCCTTGAGCATGTCGAAACCTGATTATGCTGTGCAGCGTGTGGAGGATTGACGGTGGCTCGGACTATCCGTGTATTCCCATAGCTAGTGGCCTGTGATGAAATAACATATGTATATCGTGGACACGAGGCAGAAAGCATAGTATAATCAAACTGTAGGACAGATAGCCTAGGCCGATGTGAACCGGATTTAGCCTCATAAGCGTGCCAGAATATATTGAGATATAATACCTTGACATCTCTCTGCTGCTTGTAGAAGATCACGAGACCGTCATGTGTCTACCCAGCCATCAGCAAGACCCGAGTCGCTACTACTCAGTTCCTGCATGCAATCAATCTCTTCACACCTCATCCCATCTGTTAATTCTCTTTTTTTGTGAAGATTTATTCAACTTCACTGGAATGATGTGAATGCCATATTGATTGATCAGCCGACGGCCTAAAGGATCTAGATAACTTAACTGATTGAAGCCTCGAGAATGAGGCGCTTTCCAGAGCCAAGATCAACCTCACCCTACAAGCTGTTCTATGAGAACGGAGGCCCTCCCCCCAAGAAGCCAGAACTATGCACCTGGGGTTCGAGACCCCAATGGGCATCAGGCTTTCGCAAATGGTCATAGCGAGTGGCGAAGCAGACTATTCGATATGGTATACCTCACACAAAAGCCAAGCGCATCAATTAATTATAGTGGAGGCTAAGAAGGCGAGGCATGTAACTTCGGGATTGCCCCAATTGTTGGGGTACATGGGTAAGCATTATTAGCTGTTTTATTGTCTATATATGTCATAAAACTGTATATCTAACATTATAAGGTAGGCACTGTCCAATTCGCACGACGTAGCGCGCAAAAGTCAAACATCGCTGTCTTTGGCATCCTCCCGGACGCATATCAATGGGACTTTGGTCGTCTTCATAAAATGGAAAGGTAAAGAATGATCTACTTGATCTGGTCAATCTCGACTTGTCACGAACATACTATAGTACTCGTGGATTACTTTTTCGGTGGGAGTCAGGCCAATGCCAGCAAATCTGGGATATTATGAATTAGATTGTCACTTGTGCGGAGATTCAGTCGCCCGGGGATTCAGATTATTTATGAGCAATGATCTCACTAAAACCATGTTCATTGGAAAGGATCTTGGAGATGATTCCTTTAGCTTCAACGTGAGCTGCAGAATAGTACGGTCGTCAATAGAATGGGTCAGTTGGCCCACATATGTGTGCGCTCGATATCCACATCGGTCTCTTCCCAGGGGGTTCAAACTCTTGCCAGACCATATCGCCTTTAACAGACTCAAGGCCCAGACCTATCTGTCCTTCGGAGTTGTATTCGGTGGCTGACATTACGTAGATCAATAGACAGTTCATGGTTTAGGTGGTTATTCGAGTGGTTACGATAGTCATCGATTACCACGAGACACTCTGGAAACTTATAGATGCCATTCCGCTACGTAAGTCTTGGACACATGCCAAGGCCAGTTAGACATAAATATCAGTGACACTTCCACACTGTCTAGACTTCAACTATTAGATTATTCTTCAACGACTCAGTTCTCGGGGATATCCAATAAATTATTATCTCGGGGAGACAAGACCTGAGAGATCCAGATACATGCACCGTGGATCTGTATCAGTACTACCGTCTAACGGTCTTATGGATGTAAAACCCCCCATACAATATATCATAGCATCATCAAGAGTCTCTAATATCAACTCCATCCATCGCGAGATGCTTGTGGGTCTGCTGACCAAACGTCTCCAGCTACTGTACGGCACGGTACCGTGTGCATTACCCACTGAGATACAGACCAGTACCGTCAGTGCAGTAGGAGGACCCACTCAACTCGCCTTGATTCCTCTTGTCACTACTCTTGGCCATTTCTCGGAGACATTTCTCGTCGATGACAAATTTGGGAGCAAAGTCGACCCGCACGCATGTATGTGCATCTACTCGGACCTACTCCGGTCAATCAGCTCTATCTGGTACATATACGTGGTAGGTAAATCGATCTTTGATGCCCTAACCCTCATCCCCATTAGTACCTTTACCCTCATTCGCTTAGTCTTCCCTCATTCTCTCTAATTCACTCATTTCACAATTGTGCATAATGGTCGTGCAGACTCCTCTACGGGCAGATCTTTTCAATGCTCCAGCCATTCCCACAACCGAGACGTTGCCCGACGGCTCTGTTGGATTATGGCAACCGACTGTGGTGACCCTTATCTCGGGCCAGTCTGAGGCTGTACTTGTGGACACTCTGTTTACCTCCGATCAAGGCGTGGCCCTAGCGGACTGGATCGACGAGTCCCTCGGTGGTAAGCGTCTTGCCACAATTTATATCACTCACGGCCACGGAGATCATTGGTTCAACCTCTATTACCTCACTCAACGCTTTCCAGGCGTCGAAGTGGTGTCGACGCAAAGCTCGATTGACCACATGTCCACACAGCTGACAGCGGCGTTTGTTGGCTTCTGGAATGATCTATTCCCCGGGCAGATCGACAAGGACTCGTTTCAAATTCTGGCCAAGCCTCTGAAGGACAACAAGTTTACTCTGGAGGGCCACACCTTTCAGGCTATTGATGTTGGCCACTCGGACACCGATGAGACGACGTTTCTACACGTGCCCTCGCTGGACATGGTAGTCGCCGGAGACATCGTGTACAACGATGTGCATATGTGGATGACAGAATCTCCACAGGAGTCTCAGCGGGAGGCTTGGCTTGAATCGCTTGCTGTGCTCGAAAAGTATGATCCGGCTATTGTCGTTGCTTCCCATCACAGACCTGGAGCGGTGGACGGAGCTTTCAACATTGCTGCCTCGAAACAGTACATCAGGACTTTCAACCGCCTCGTGCAGGAGTCGTCGAGTGCCAAGGAACTCTATGACAAGGTATTGGGTGCGTACCCGAATCGGATTGGGAAATTGGTGCTCTGGTTGGGATGTAAAGCTGTGTTTGCATCGAGTATTGGTGTTTAAAAGACCTTTGCTCTAGGGATAATATATTTTTTGGTGGATTGATTACAGAGATGTGGTGTAATATACCGAGCACGGTCAGTACACGAGAAGGTAGGAGGAACACGAACAAAATCTGGAACTCCTGGTCGCCTGGTTAATCTTCCGTCGTTACTATTCGGGCAGCTACCCTGCTATGAATGGCGGAGATTGCCCATGACAAGGGTCTCATGGATGATGTGTTAGAATAGTATAATACTGTCCATTGCAAATCGTTGGTTTCTCGGGCGAGAGAGACGTTGAATTTACCGAGTCTCCTCCCCCGCATTGCTGATCAATCCGTCCGACGCCCGCGGCCAAGGTGTATATATCACTGGGAAATCTCCTTGCTTGACTTTCTCAAAAGGAGGTCAGTTGCTACAGTCACCTTCCTGTTAGGTATAATCAACCATGCCGTTGTATGAAGTCGAACACTGTATTGCCTTGAGTAAAGCCCAGCGCAACGAGCTTGCTCAAGCTATCACCCTTCTTCATACGCGCAAATTCACCACCCCCAGCCTTTTCGTGAATGTCCGCTTCGTGGATGCAAGTAATTCTTGTAGCTATATAGGAGGAAAAGAGGTTCGTTATTCATACAGCCCATCCGAGATTCACTTCCAAACACTCATACAGCGTGCGATCAATCGCATCATTGCCTATGTTCGACCGGGCGGCAATCGAACCACGGCCGATTTCGAAGAGCTCGCTCAGCGTGTCACTGATGCTTGGAATCAGATCGTTGTGCAGGGAGCCGAGTGTAGGACCAAAGAAAGCCAGCTGAATCGAGTCTTCATCATGGGTACTATTACCGCGGGGATGGAAAATGGATTTCTTTTACCACGGGTAAGCGGCGTAGACGATCTCCTCAGGAAAGATCACTTTGTAATTAACGGTCCTTGCTTACTGTGACTGCAGGCTGGAGAGGACGCCACTTGGTTAAGGGACAATGCACCGAGATTTGAGGAGTTGGCGAAACAGGGGGATCGTGACTTCATTGAGCTAGTGGCGGAGATGGAGAGCAGAGACGATTTATCCGCAAAGACGAAGCAGCGCATGGTATAAGGGGGTCACAGGCTGATGACTTTCTGGCTGTCTACGTATATATCACATTAGTGTGAACGGCGACTTCTCCTTGTCCACCTACATTGCATTACCCACTGTAGTACATCGCCCGTACTTCCTGTCTGTCAGTATTGACAATCGATAATGATACAGGGTCTGAACAGCCAAGGAGCTTGTGATCAACATTCCACCGTGTCTCGGAGAGATATGTGACGCTGACCAATAATACAATGGGGTCGAAGTGCCTCGAGGTTTACGACGGAGGAACTCCTGCAGGATGAAAAACCACGCATGTGGGCCTGGAACTTGACACAGGGCGTGGACTCGAACCTGTGAAGCTAGTGCCAAGCCACCCGGTTTACGTAGATGCATGCAAAGGGAGGGAGTAGCTTGATAGACGCGCCTAACGAAATATCCCACCAACGACATGCATCATCACGACACTTTGAAAATGTTCATAGCTTGTATGTGTACTGTTGACAATGCTTGCAACCCGAGGATTTACTTTCACTAGTTGCTTTGGTGTAAATGCTCTTATGGCAAAGGACTTTGACTTCTGTAACTCGGAGGGTTTGAAACGATGCAGTCCGAAAAGAAAGAGTCTGTCCAGTGCAATATGCTAATCGCGTATAGAAAACACACAGGATCCTTCTATTTACCAGATCTCCGGTGCTGTGATAGTCACAAACCAATGCCAGCCCCCCGACCGTACAGGGTCCGTTATCAGTGGTACAAGCGCGAGAGAATCCGGCTTATGTTCCGCATCCTGAAGAAGACCGCAGAACATCCCTAACACAGATTGTGGAAAACAGTTCTCATCCACCCCAGCAAAAACCCCCGGAGCCTAGAGGTCGCAAGCCCCGATTTGCTACGCTCTCCAGTGAGGTGGAGAGATCCCTGTCGCTTATATACCGGGAGCTTGAGTCGGCTACCTTACTCAAACGACAAATTGAACAATTGCAGGTGGAGAATTCGCGGTACCAACAAATCATCAAGATCCACGATCAGGATCTGATCGCTCTGCGTAGAGGGATTGGCAATCCGCGCGTCTCGGATGGAGAGCTGCAAAGCCTGAAAGCCACGGCTGGTCAGTATGATACGGTATTGCAAGAGTTGAACGAATCCCGAGCGGAGAACGTAACCCTTGCAGAGAATCTAAAAGCCGCGAAGGATGAGACGGCAAAGACTAATACAGTTTTAGACGAATGGAAGGGGAAGCTTGCCAGGCTCATTCAAGAATGGCTTATCTCTGAGCTAAAGGAATCTATATGTGCTTTACCTAATAGAAGCCCTATGTGAATTATATAGAATTGTATTCCTTAAGCTTCGTGCACATGACAGGTAATGCTATTCGGTAGTTCAGTCTCTAATATAATTATAACAAGGCACAGCTTTCGCATGTTCCTCATGACTTTCAACGAGCGAGATAATATAGCTATGAAGTAAGAGCCATAGCTCCGATATATTGTATGATCCTTAGAATGGCTCCCCCCCAAGCAAGGTTACCTCCCTTTCCTTGCACCACTCAGGGAACCATACTGCGTTTATTGGATCGGGATCATCGGGATCAGGTATAATCGTGGGCCAACAGTAGTAGTCGGTGTTGATCGTGAGATCAAACTGGGCCAGATATTGGGTTAGAATGGTATTTCTTGCCAGTCTCTTGCGGCTCCTAACTTTGCTCATGAGTAATGGATCTATCCAACATAAGAAAGGTAGAAGGCCTGGTGAAAAGGCTCCGATGTCTACCCAATATTGCACATTCTCCATGCGGATATAATCTCGGTTTGGCGTCTACTTAGCGTGGGTATCGATCATTCCACGATGATGAAAATAGGGCCTGTCAGGGTCTTCTGGGTTCCAGAAACGGACAATCGAATTTGGAGGCTGCTGAAGAAGCATACGGCGCCAACTCGCCTCAGGCCGCAAATATGCCTCTACTCTCTTCTTCGATGATATATAGGGTATTCCATCGAACCCGCCACATAACCAACCGCTGACTCTTGGCCGTGAGTAGAGTTGTGTGCGAATAAACTCAAACCATATTTTGTCAACCACGAGTGGATTTTTTATTCCTAGCTGGCCTGGTGCTACCCTATCTGAAGGAATATAGAACAGTGCCTGTTGTATCTTGCGTGAGCTTTTGGTCAGATTATTCCACGTGCAACAGACTCGAGCTGAAATTAGCAATGTGTGCATGTCCAAATTCAACAGGATGGCCTCCAGGATCTCGGGGATGAAGAATATTCTTGATGCATCTGACAGGCGTTGCGTCTTGTTTCCAGGGGATGTGGAGCACATGCTTCTCTCCAACGAAACCATCCCTGCTGGATCAGGCATCGTGGGTAACTAAGACTGGGGAGGGGTTGGAAAATGAGTTCTTGTTCACTGACTTTGGGAAGTTGAAAATGCTGGACACGCCCGGTGAAAAAAGAGTTACCCAGTTATCGTGTGAACATAACATCATCACCTTGGGAGCTCAGTTGCGTCACCGCCACGTGTTAAGCGTGAGAGCTGGAGGTAATCGTGAGTTGATGGTGTGTATGCACGTCCTGCATTTATGCATTGACATTGAGGAAGTCCGAATTTATCTAGCCGATGGTCGCCTACTACCTAGGATACGGCGCCTGCGTTGGGATGTTCTGTGCAAACTGTTGTTTCTTTTACAGCCGCATACACAACCACTCCGTCATAGCCTAATATCGAATAACCAGTTAGGATCTTCCCTCATCAATTTTCAGTATAGCCTAGCTGAAAACTTCAGGAATATCAGTTCAGGCTTTGGCGGGTTCAGAGTGGGTTCCTGAGTGCCCTAATGGATCTTGATCAGAAGCCAGAAAGCTCACATAAGTATGACTATTATACACACAATTCTGTCTGTAATAGAGCTCCAGTTTTACATATAGTATCGTATAGCTTTGAACACATAGAAGAGGAAGCTTGTAAGGCTTATTTAAGGATAAAATATCTGTGAGCCAGACAACTGTACCTAGTAGAATGTCACTACAATTAATATACAAGGGCATCTGACTGCCTATATCTACTTATCGTTCTATAGGTTGCGTAAATCTTGGTCCTCTTATTCGGGACCTACCCGATTGATTAAACTTCTTTTACGCAGAACATATGCATTACCCGTCATACAACTGGTGACGCTGTCAACGAGATGGCCTCATTTTAGTGAGCGAAAGAGAAGGGCAGTATGCTGCTTGAGATTTTATGACTCGTAAAGCAGCTAGCCTATCTGGCAATGGGATATGCTCGTCCAGTACGATCGGGATTACATAGCCCAAATCGGCTGTTTCGGGCCAAAAGCCTCAATAGCGTGGAAAGAAAAATTACCAGGGACCAGATACCGGCGATCATTAACTGGACGTCAATTTCTGTCAAGGTATTGATTCAACTTCAGGGTCTACCGTTGCTGCCGCTCTCGTATTTTCTGGAGCAGAGCGTCCAGTGCTCGGCCATCTCCCATCTCTGTCTCTTTCGATCGATTCACATACCGTCTATCAGGATGGCCCCATTCGCTATCGCCAAAATCCAGCAATCCAGATTCTTCATCCGCTTCATGCCAGAAGTCATCGAATGCAGTATATCTCTGCTTTGTTAGACGGTCCGATAATATCTCGGGGCAGACCGGGAAGAGCGGATCCTGGCCGTAGTGAAAACAGAAGTCCTTGAGGTTAGGAAGACGGGTACAAATATTGTCAAATATGGCCTCCCACGTCCCGGAGAATCCGTAGATAACATAGGGGCCGTCAATACCAAAGGAGCCAATAGGATACTCGTGCCAGTCATGAGTCTGAACATGCCATTCCTCAAGATTGGTTTGGTGCGTGGTTATGTGTGACACGATAGAACACCTGTCTAGGCGAAGGCACACCAGCGAGGACTGGTTCAAGACCCAGTCGAACTGAGCATGGTGCCCGATGACAAAGTTGCCCAGGTTCAGCGTCTTCAGCCTTGGAAAGTGGAGGCCGCTGCCGTCAAAATACCCAGGTATGGTTCCCCAACCAACCTGAAAGGAGAGTGTCAGGCAGACCAGATGGTCGGCCAGAGGAGCCAGCCACTGGCGATGTAGGTACGGTTCAAACACCTGCCGCTCAATACGATACGTGTCCCAGTCGGGTCCGGCTTCATCATACTCCTCAGCCACCATGAGATGCAGAGTGTCGATGTCCTTTGTGACGCCCCTGAAGAGCTCAGAGGAGGTAAAGTCTGGTAACGGAGCATTTTGGAGGTTCTCAACTGTGAGGGAGCGGATGGGATGCGCGCCGGTTTTGTTATTTGAACGCTTGTGGATCGCCTTAAAGACGGATTCGAGGATCTCCTGGCGCGTCGAGATATCTTCGACGACCTCGTCACGATGATCATCGGTCTCAACCCCACCACAGTGTCTAGAAAACCGTAGATGTAGCGCCTGGATGCGGTCAAGTTCGGCGATGCGGCCTATCGCGCTGATGAGGCCGTCGTAACCGCAGTCTGTATACGTGTGCCAGATGCCGAGTGGGTGATCATCGGCCGGGGCAGAGCGGATATAAACACAACGGACCGCCTGTCTAACGACATCGCTGGCAAGCATGTCATTCCAGGATTGGTATTCCCCGTCGGTATACGCCAGCGTCACGGTGTGGAACACATGCGCTGTAGCCAGCGTGTTCCATAACCGGCACACCAGGCGAGCGTTACAGATATGCTGTAGATTGTCGCACTCATCTAAGAAAGGGCCCTTTCTGTCGATGAGCAGACCTATGATGAGGCTCAATATTTCTCGTGGCAGGTTTCCCAGCCCCATGATAAGATATCAGCGTGTTAAGGAAGCAAGGCAAAAACTCCGAAGCAAACGCGTGTTCTGAGGTGCCGTGGGGGCGGCGATCAACAACCACAACAACACGTCCACCGTCTCACTTGACGAATATCTCAGCCCCCTACAATATGGTGTTTCTCTCTCCTGAAATTCTATACGAAATTCTGAAGTACATGGACCCCGATATTGTTCTATTTATACCAATTCACTCCCAACGGTTTTACTGTGGAATTTCCCCGGTATAGAAACATATAACGTCGGAGATTCTTCGCTGAGTTTCAGGTATGTACAACCGACAGAAGAACTTCTAAGCTCTCACAGTTATACAGTACAACGCTCTACCACCTAATAGCGCATAAGTGTTGCAAATTCCCTGATTCTGTCAATCCTTTGAAAACCTCTAGTACCCCAGACTATCAATCCCAGCGCGGATTGACTCCTCTAATCCAATCCAACCAGACCGCCCGAAAAATGACTTGATCAAATTCTCCGCCCTCTGAGCAGGAACGATATCACTTAGGTCTCGGAGCTCATTCTCCGGAGGACTTGGGATATTTACATTGCCTGGACGGAATTTCTGCAGAATGCTGACGAATTCCTTCCAGGTAAAGGTCGATGCGAACGCAAACAGACGTTCAGACTTGACTTCAGGATGAAGAAGACCAACGACATGCACGCGTGCGAGGTCTACAACGTCGACGAATTCTAGTTTCGAATCCTTGTCAGTAAGCCGATCAACAGCGTGGAATTTATCCCATGATCCTTACGTCCAGGAAACCCGAAAGCGGCGACGTCGCCCTTAAGTAGGTTGGCTGCCCATTTCATGGTGGAGCCTGGTATCTCGGGGTGAAGGACTTGTCCGAGCTGTTTGCAGTATGAATTAGCCAAGACGACGGATTAAAACCTTTGGATATATTTCTAGAATCCATGATATGCCTCCCCATTTGTTTACTCACAGTATAGTAGGGCAAGACCGCGTTAAACACGAAAGCCGGCTTGTTCTTTTCAACCCATTTCCACGCCGCTCGTTCACCCTCCGTCTTAGACGCAACGTAGACTGTGAACGGCTTGGCATCTGCTGGCGTGCTTTCATCAAAAGCAGCCGTCACCGTCGCGATATTCCACGTGTCTATATGGTCACACATGTCAGTTACACCAAAGCTTGTAGTAGTAATTGGGGACTATGATATAGGAACATATTTGGTTGATCTCCTCGGTACACGAGGGTGACAAAGTAAATCTGACCTTCAGTGACCACAATCCCTTCCACCCCTGGTTGTGGTAATGCTGCCGCTGAAGCTGATGAGGTCAGGACGACTCTCTGAATTGATCCCTCTGGTTGCCTAGCGGCGGCTTCCAAGATGGTCTCGGTGGCTGAAACAACTCTCGGAATAACCTCCTCAGCATGCGGGCTAAAGGAAACGTCTGATGCCTAGAAGCACCTGTTTAGTATTGTACCCTGCAGGGATTCTCATAGACTTCATAGCTGGGCACAACTATGCGACGAAAAGTGGGAAGGTTTTGTATATATACCACATGAATGACTCCGCTAACATCCGACATTGCCTTGATCAAAGTGTCAAGGTCACTCAAGTCTGGGATAACAACCGACTCGAAACTGTTGGGCCCAAATTTGGACCTGAAAAGTTCTTCGAGCCACGGCTTCTGGGAACGCACCGTTCCTCGCACAACGTATCCAAGAGATAAGAGTTGCTGAACAACATGGGAACCAATAAATCCATTGGCACCTGTGACCAGAACACGCGAGCCAGGCGCAATAGCATATAATTCTTTGTTGATCGAGGCCATGTTGGTTGGCAGGCGTTGTTCACTTGCAGCAACGTGTTATAGATGTGAAGAACTTTGAATGGAAATGGTAACTTTGGTGTTTTGTTTCTCGTACTGTGCTCCAGGATAATGGATTGATTTATACTCTATTTCAACCAAGCGAATACGCACATGTCTGCCTCCGCGGAGCTGGGTAAGCTATTCGATATGGAAGCACCAGTACCGATATCTATCGGCCATCACTCAGCAAGGGTCAAGTTCACATTTGTCATTATAAAGTCTTCCACTCGATTATAAAGCAGTGCATTTGGAATGACATCCGCGGAGGTGGCTATTCTTCCATCTGGGAGCGCCACGGCCGGTATTAATCAGCCGCCTGCCATACTATATCATGAGTTATATTCGAAATCAATGGCAGATTCTTCTATATATTGTAAGGCATCGCATTCCGAATGGCTTCCGCGGAACTTATTGTCTTTTGTCCAGTCTTGTCAAGCTCCAAGGCTACAGGCTACAGCATATAACTTCAGCCAGCCCCTCGTGAGATTTTCAGATTGTAGGCTCTGTCGATGAGCGTCTAACTTCCTTCTCCCTTTTCTCTTCAGCCGAAATTCTTGAGATATACTTCGAAAATGAAAGTTGGCATTGTGAACACAGGCAATATCGGATTGCGTCTAGCCTTTGCCTGGATTCGCCTTGGCCATGAAGTCATGCTCAGCAAAGATACGCATCCAGAACGGCTTCGAGAGCGCGTGCGAGAATTTGGCCTGGAAAGAGGCATTGGAGAGGATGAGATAGCCCGGTTTAAATACGGTTCAATCACGGGCGCTGCGAAATTTGGTGAAGTTGTCGTTCTGTCGGCGTACTTCCCACGTCTGGCTCATATTCTGGAAGAGCTCCAGAGCGACGGCATTACGCTTTCAGGTAAAATCGTGATTGATACAATGAATCCGCTCAATGTGGATGCCACCTTCAATCATTACCATGACTTCAGGTACATGGAAAGAACCTCCATTACGGAAGAGGTTCAGAGGGCTTTTCCAGAGGCAGTGCTTTTCAAAGCCTTCAATTCTATGCCTGCAACACTCTTAGAAGCCCAAAAGTGGACATCTGGTCGTGTGCCACCTATAATTTTCGTTGGGGGAAACACATCTTCTATCGACACCATTCGCAAGCTTATCGAAGGCGTTGGATTCAAGCCACGGTTTGCAGGCTATGACTTGAAACATTCAGGATTGTTGGAGCGGATGGGTATATTGTTACATCTTTTGGTGGAGAATGAATATGATGGCAACGGCGATGTCGTCTTTGACGTCATGGAAAGGAGGGCCTGATCGTTGGTTTTGATCTTTTAGCATGGTCTAGAATTTACTTCCTTGAAGGTTCATATAACCTTTCGAATTAGGGCTAGGAGGCAGTTTTTCAAGTCTCGAAAGTGATCGAGTTCGCCTTCCGCATCCTGTCAAGCTGCTTTGGAGCTATGAATATTAAACCCCTTCCGTCCTGGTGTACATATAGAAAGGCTCTAACATATCTGGATAATTCAGCAACCCATGATTGCTAAACGACGTTGTGATGCCCTCCGCAAGCCTTTGCTTCACCGTTCGGACGGCCTCGACACAAGTTTCCCGAAGCGCCTGGGCCTCCGTCGATTGATTTTCCTTCATGGCCTCATTGAGCCAAAGAAGGGCCGAATCGATCAGCTCAATATCTAGCTGGATCTTATCATGCCACGAATCGTACAAAGTGTTGGCCGTCAATAGCACCATGGCGGTCGTGTAAGGACATGAAGTCATCCTGTTTCTGTCAACAGCGGCTTGCTCATTGTGATATGTGACTGCTCACCAACGAAACCAGGCGTCTTTCGACCAAATCTCTCGAAACAGGACCATGTAGTTTCGCGCCTGATGTACTATTGTGTCCCAAGCTGGTGGTAGCTGCAGGGTCTGAACTCCTCTGCTATGGTTTCGAAGACCACTCACCCATTGTCCATCCCAAGCGTGAGCCCTGCTAACAAGCGCCATGCATTGGAGACTGGTTGAGTGTAGCACACAAAAAAATCCACCATATACCGGTTTATTTCTGGTGCTCGAGGTGACCATACTGGCGCTAAATTCGGGTGGTATGGAAGCTCTCCACTCATCGAGTGCGTTAACAATGCTCTCCTTTGCATTACGTCGCTCTTCCAGGCTTCGATTCACTGCTCGTGTTGAGTAGAGCGAGTCATATACACGGCCCTCGATATTGGCCAGCTTAATGCGGGCTAAAAAGTAATTCATCCTAGCACCTCCATCAGCCGTGATGACGATGCCAGCCGTGTTGTCATTATCATTATTAGTCGTCGGCAAGGAAGATGGTAACTGCACGTCAATGTCGTCATCGAGTTGAACCGAAGGTTGTTGGGTCCGAAGGCTCAAGTCTTTGTCGAGAATGTATGCCAGCCAGAAGACGCGAACATGTTGTCTCCTTTGCACAGGATCCAGATGTGTCGATGCTGCGTGGTTGTGTAGGCCTAACCTATGTACGAGACGCATAGTTGCGGATATTAGGATCAAAGATGGGGTCAGGTTGTGCGCGGTTTGGAGCACCATCACTATGCCTACCAATACCTGTATGTTAAGGAGGCGTGTTTCACCCAGCATCACAGTCGAGATGACGGATTGTGCTTTGTCGAGATACCCCGTTGTTTGATCGGTCTGGTACTGAGACCGGGCATTACTAGCGCCTCCTGGAACCTGTTGGCTAGCCAAGGCAAAGACGACGTTGATGGCAGCCCATACTACTGGGTCGCGTTGTCCTGGTTGACAAGCATAGCATTCACCAACGAGACACAAGAGCGTGTCAGCATGAAAGAGCGGCAGGACTGCGTTGAAAGTGTTGAGAAAGATTCCTATCATGGCCATGGCTTGCTGTAGCGGAGGTAGCTGCATTGAGCTGACTGTCTGATCGTTATTCTCATAGTGTTCATCGTCAACGTGCATTCCTATTATCGTCTCTTCGAGTCCTCGTGTCAGATTTTGCGCCTGATGTTGATCTCGATTCTGAGCCTGTAGCTTTTATGATTGAGTATCCTCGTTATTCCAAGGCCCGAGGATACGTACAAGTTCGCTCTTTAAGCGCTGTACTTCTGCTTGCAGGCTCTGGACATCATTCGTCTTCTTGGTCCCGCTACTACGTTGTGCTCTGGGCTTTGACTTCCGGCTCAGTACCGTATGCGTGCAATCCGTCGCATAGTTGATGCAGTTCGAGCAGCGAGGTTTCTGTCCGTCGCACTTGATCTTGCGAGTGTAGCATAGATCGCATGCCTTCCTTGGCCGATTACTCATTTCTTCCATTGTAGGACTCAAGACACTGTCAGTTCGACTCAATAGTTGTCCTCCCTCCGTGGAGTTCAAGTTCAGGGTTGGCTTGGTAGGTTTTATGCGAAAGGCTGCCTCCGCGGAAGCGCGGTTAATATTGGATTATTAATACGGAGTACATGAGGCTAAATACATGGCACCAGTGGGCCTGGTTGGCCAAATGCAAACATTCGCGCTGCCCCACAGTCAACCATGGATATATTCTACATATGAAGCTACTCCATGATAGAGACCCGAACGAAACCCAGATCAAATGTGAGGTGTGATGATCAAAGTAGTAGATCGTAAGCCCTAACGAACACTACAGTAGTTCGGGCCTGAGGCCGCGTTCGTCTGATGCTTTGCGCTTTTGTCTCATGTTGATGCAGATTATATATTACACATACTAAATGGCCCAGATCAACTGAATCATCCACGCAGATCGTGCCTCTTTGTACCTACTCTGTTCCAGGATCCCCCCGGGAGTTGATCCTGCTTCAGTGTCTGACGCGAACAGACGGTCACCATGTCGACGCCATCTAGGTCGGTTTCAGCCGCTGGCTTATTCCTACCAGCTGAAGCCTCCGATAATATCGGACGGGGCTCGGAAAAGTGTTCGTCCTGAACAACAACTGGTGGCAATCCTGAAAGATAAAATAAGCCACATCGGTCCCCGGAAGTCTCAGGCCAAATGCTATGACTCACATCCCTCAAGCATATCCGCAGATGATGCCAAAGTACAGCTCCAAGTTTGCCCAGAGTGACCCTTTAGCACCTAACCCTGTTATGTTGAGAGCAAATTGGAACATATCATCAAACAGAGCCGAGCAAGTGAAAAAGGAAAGGTGAAGCAAGGAAAATCAAGGCAAAGAAAAGAAAAGAAAGAAAGGAATACATAGGGTACTGATTGGCTGGTGAAGTAGCCTACCAGTCTGTGGTGGCGTGACATATTTGAGGAGCTCAATAAATCGCAGAATACTACCAACACAGACCCTAGAGGGAAACGGGCTGGTTAGAACTGGTCTCTGAGGCTTGAATACTCGAGCCAGAAAATCATACAATGCGCCTATTGAAAGGAGGGCTGTCGATTCGAACCTTTGCTGTACGGTTGAGCGCAGCTGCCATACTATCGGGACGGGCATCAGCAGAATGATAATATCTTCAACAAAGCCAAGCGACCCAATGACATTGTAAAACGCTGCTTGCTGGGGCATACAATGTCCCTCGATCTTCTTGTTCCAAAACTATTGCGGCGGCGAACATTCCAGGGTGGCACCCAGAACTGCGACCCCCCATGCGACGGTGAATACGATCGTCTAGACCTCTGGCAAGGATCCGGAATCGCTGTATCACGGAGAACAATCGGTCCAGAAAGATGAGAATTGAGGTCTTCACAAATACTTGAGCAAAGGGCCATAATGTGTCGAACAGCCAGGACGCCTAAAATGAGGAGGTTCTTAGTATTGTTGTACCACGAGCAGATTCACCTATTTGCCATCATGGACGTACTGACATGGGAATCTATGCGTGGGAATGAGGTTCAGGTCGGCTGTACCAGCAAGTGACGCTCTTCCTGCTCCTGTGACCAGATGGAGGGTTGTTTTCCGCCATGATGAACCGCGCCTGATTGATCAGCGTTCAGCAAGATCAATTAGTGTTTCCCCTGGGCGGCGTGGGTGTGTGTGTGTGTGCCGGTAGGACCCAAAGTGGCCCCAGTGATAAAAGGGAAATCACTCACTGAAGGCCATACAGCCGGTGACTGCATACGAGGATAAGAGTCCCAGGCCCATCATCAGGTCATCAATCTTGAAAGTCTGGCCGTCGACGCGGCGACAATACAGGTGGAGAAGGAAGACAGCCGTCGCAAGGACACCGCAGATGATTGGAACCACAATCGGAACCAGGCGCCAGTACTCGGACTCCACTGTCAGGGTTTAGGCGCTGCGTGCCGGGGACCACCTACCGCAACTCGGATGGGTTCAAAGCATGCAGGACGTCGAGAATGGGAATACGAAGAACAATATACTTTGTGATATCCACGCTACAACTCGGAAAAAGTCAGCCCATGACGTCCTGGGCATTCCATCTCTGGCGAAGTAGATGCATTCTGTGGGGAGATGCTACGAAATCGTGTTTGCTATGCCAATAACACGCACCCGCTAGGGCAGAGCAGTGCCCATTCTCCATGGTGGGGTCCGAATAGTGCCGTGGTACGGGGGTGTTCCTGTACTGTGTATGCCATAGGAGGTGGATCATCATCACGGAAAGTCAACCCATCGGGGCTGCAGAAAGGGGGATCGGCGTGGGATATGTGGACCTGGTCGAAAGCAGAGAGACGCGGCGTTCGTCATTCCTTTGCTTCGTCGACCCGACCCGGATATATGCATCGCGTTGGATATCGTTATTGATCAAGATCGACCAAGATCGACGTGGCCGCGGAAAAAGCTCTGGATTCTGTCCTTGGCGTCCCAAGCCGTTCCTCCGAACCAATACGAATTGTACCGTTAGGACTTAAGCTTCATGTGGGGCCAACCTGGCTGCCAATCAGAATTAGCCCGAAGACCAAGGCTTCGAGTGGCGGTTCAATTGTGGAGGACAAGGGACGACCCCATATCGCATCCTGCCCCTTTTCTCCCCAGCACACCAGGGATGCCCGTTGCCTTGGGTCGCGGGAGTTGGGCAAGCTGTGCAGTGGAGATTGAACCGGCATTCCGGCATTACCACCCTGGTACCGCTGGAAGAGGTGTTCCTGTAAGAGTGGATTCGTGGAGCGTCTCCCCGGATATGTGGTGGCGCACGAATCAGAATTGGTCCGAGTCTCCACCAACAACGAAGAGGAAGAGTCTCTCAGTGACCGCCGAAGGCCGTATATTTATTTGTACAGGACTCACCCCTCGGAGAACCACCACAGAATCATTATGACACGCCAAACTATCTCTCCTCTATTACGGGCAACCCTGGCCCCCGACACGGCCAAGCGCTACAACGGAACAGAACATGAGACGAAGATCTTGCCAGCGGGCTGGAAGCTGACGGACACTCATGCGCCTTTCCGGGTGGAAACCATTTGGGAGAGAAATGTCCGTGTGCAGATGAGAGACGGTTGCCACATCTACATGGACATTTTCAGGCCCTGTAACTCTGCGGAAGACAAGGTTCCCGCACTGATGTCCTGGAGTCCGTATGGGAGATCATCGGGCCATGCTGGTGGTTGGTTTATACTGCCCAGTCTGCCTCTGTGATATCGTCCTGGCCTTACTCATGCTATTATCCGCAGGCTTTGATCCACTGGATATGATTCCGGGTCGGGTGGGGTTCCTCACGATCGTCTGTCTGGCTTGGGGAAGTTCGAGGCTCCTGATCCCGCCGAATGGACGGCGAAAGGATATGCAATTGTGAATCCCGATTCTCGGGGCATTTGTGATTCCGAGGGCGTTGCTCAGTAAGTGTCTCCCGACACAAGCGCCAGGTCCGCCACGTACCTAATTGGCGAAATCAGGCATTTCGGTGACATTGAGGCCAACGATGGACACGATACGATTGAATATGTGGCAGGCCTCCCATGGTGTAATGGCAAGGTGGCCTTGGTCGGCAATTCCTGGTTAGGCATTGTGCAATGGTTTATTGCTGCCACGCAGCCACCGCATTTAAGCTGCATTGCCCCCCTCGAAGGCGCGGGAGACTTGTACCGGGACATCCTCTGTCGAGGTGGCATTCCACAGACTCCGTTTTGGGACTTTCTTTCTAGTCTACTGAGAGGTGAGAGCAGCCATTTGCATCATCATCAACCTGTCAAAACTCATATCTTTCATAGGCAGGAACAAGCAGGAGGATGTGATTGGCATGTTGCAGAAGTATCCTCTGATGAATGAATACTGGGCAAGCAAAAGAGCCGCGATGGAGAAGATCACGGCCCCTGCTTATGTTCTTGCCAGCTATTCCACCTTCCTTCATACATTCGGCTCGTTCCGTGGATTTACCGAAATCCCGCATTCCAACAAATGGTACAGTGGACATGTTCTCCCCTTGACTGATGTGGTCGGTTAACCAGATGGGACAGGTTGCGGGTGCATGCTACCCAGGAGTGGCATGATCTCTACCAAACCTCCACCAACGATGAGCTGCAAAAGTTCTTCGACTTTTACACCAAGGGTATTCGCAACGGATGGGAGGAGACCCCAAAGGCGAGGGTGTCTCTTCTGCGATACAACAAGGTACTGACTTACTCGCATAAGCCTGACCGGCTTGAGGCGGAACGGAATGCTAACCCTAACCCGTGGCAGGAACCCTTGACCAATCTTCCCTTCCCTAACTGGCCCATTCCGAGCACCATGGCTCAAACGCTGTTCCTCCACAAGGAGAATGTCTTATCTGAAGAGCCGGCACCCTCCGCCGCCTCTCTATCGTACATTTCCGACGTCCCATTCCAGCAGGTGGACGCGGATTCGGAAGAGCTCTCGTTTGTTCTTACCTTTGAGAAGTCATGTGCCCTCGTTGGGTCAGCACGGGCCCTGCTGTATATGTCATGCGAACAGGGAGCCGATATGGATGTCTTCGTTCAGATCCGCAAGGCAGACTCCACAGGCAAGGTCCTGCGGAGCATCAACATCCCCGCCGACGCCCGGACGATCTGCAGAATGCCCGAGCCGGTTGAGCTGATCAATCCACTGGTGCATTTAGGCCCAACAGGGTGCCTCCGGGCGAGTCACCGTGCCCTCGATGAGGACCTGAGCAATGAGTGGTGGCCCGAACATGATTACTCTTCTCGGCAGCCGATTGCCCCTGGCGAAATTGTCGAATTGGACATCGGCCTCTGGCAGACGGGTATATATTTTGAGCCGGGCGAGAAGCTTGTTCTGAAGGTAGCGGGTCATAATATGACTCTCGCCGAATTTCCCGAATTGCGTGGAGCTATGCAGAACTTTAACCACGGTAAACACTTTCTCCATGTCGGCGGACCTCACGCGAGTCGATTGACCATTCCGACTGTCCCTTCGGTCTGTGATGCATGAGTACATAGCTCTTCATCTAGTTAGTATGTTTACACAAGTGCAATCTACTGTCGCCTGGAATAGGCTATTGTGTTAAACCCTGTAGGCATTGCCGTAGCCTTGCCTCCAACGACTGTTGGTCTACCTGTTGTTTTGCCATCTGCCCTCCCGAGCTACATCGTTCAATCCGGTAACCACTCTATTTGGGGTATCCCTGGACCTGGATCCGTATTTGTAGATGATTTCAGGGGTCCTGCCCCCGATATGCAGCGAACATGCCATCTAAAAACCCTTGCAACTCCACATTGTAGAACAAATCATCGTCGAAAAGTCCGGACCCTTTCTCGTATAATGGGGGCAAACATCCTCTATCCTCTACCAAGCCCAAAGTTTCATTTGGGTCCAATTCATCTGCATTCCCGGGTGGAAGTCCGTCTTGTACCATGCTACTACCACCATTGAGCAGCAGGCCGCACGAGGCTGCACCTTCGTCGCTATTATCTCTTGGCGGTTTGGGGACCTCGGCGTTCGCGCCAATCGGTTCTGGTAGAGACGGTCCCTCATTGCGTGGAAAGAGTGGCTGATGTAAGTCGCTTGAGTCGGCGCTTCCACTTCCCATCTTCCGCATACTCGCCAGCTCCTTTTCGAGCTCGGAGAGTTTTGCTTCCAGAATATCCGACATGTTCCACCATTCAACAAACTGGCGTAAGGTAGTTTGCAGTAGATCGATATTGGATTCCACAAGAAGTCGCTCCTGGGAATCCTTATGAAAAGCCCAAAGATGTTTGTAAACGAGGAATATTGCTGTGGCCAGCCAAATCGTATTCGCAACGAATGGATTGACCAGATAAACATGGTCTGGGTCGCTGTTCCGGACCAGCGATAAGATTGCATCCGCCATAGAGAGGTCTTTTGCCAGGATTTTGTCCATTTCACGAAATTGCTGGCTTTCCAGACGCTTCCCCGATTCAGCATGTTGCTGTTTCTGTTGTTTGGGCAATGAAGAGTCGAGCTGGGTCGGCCTGGATCCAGTTTCCAGTGCATTGGGATCGTTCAGCATATAGGCGGTCGTTTTGAGCATACATTGAATGCTGTAAATGTCGGAGTCACGTTGTTTGGTCCTCGTTGGTGTTGATGCGACATTGCCGAATAGATGTTGGCCCCGATATCCCAAGTGGCGCGGCAAGGCAACTGAGAAGCAGTACAGGGCGTTACTGACGATTTCGTGGGACGTTCTGATTTGAGCCGATATCTGCTGTTGAGGCAATGGTGGTCGGCCCGGTTGGGGAGGATAGGAAGAAGGTGGAGACCAGAAGTATTCCTGCGAGTTCGATACACAGTAGGCAGTCCTCATCAGGGACTTGGCAACGATAAACCATGCTTTTCCTGATTGACTGCCGCAGCGTTGAAGAACCTTCGATCGTTCCATGGGATCGGCAACGAGATAGCAACTCGGTTTCGGTTTCTTTTGGAGCCAGCATTCGTCGTCCACTGGTAGCATGGTCCAGTTCTGACTCCAATCAATCGCAGGGGGAAGCCGACGGACCGTAGAAGCGAAGATATCGAACTCCCAGATTGCCCACCAGGTTCGACGACGTTCTTCCTTCATGGACCACGTATCTGGATGCTCCGCTGGGAAATCGCTGACATCACGGTCCACCAGATGAAGCCGGAGCTCATACGCGATGCGGACCAAACGACCCAGCGATCGCCACCCCCTACCTTCTGCACTCTCAATCAGGTCATGAAATGATAACAAGACCATGGCTTGCAGCAACAGAAGCGGAGGTGGCGATTTGAGATCCATGAGCTCCTGGTCAATGGAAGCCGTCGCAATTCGGTAAAAGTCGTTTACACTTGGCGATGTTCTCTGAGTTTCAGAAGCCGTCGCAGAGCCATTGGCACTTGTGCTTTCTAGTCGAAAACGGGCGGAAAATGAGAACATTGCAGCCAGCAAAGCGGTGGCTTGCGACGGTGACGCAGTTTGCAACTTGATATTCAGCAGGTGCGGCGTGAACAGTGTAAACGACATCATATTTTCAAAGTAAAGGTCGACACTGTGGGTTTGCAGATCCTAATTAGTCCATTCTCTCGGGCAATACGCCACAGTTGAGCGAGAGTGAATCCATACAGGTAATAGATGTCTCCCTCATCAGTTTGGAGAGTGTCGCACATCGATTTCATGAGGCTCGCCGGGATGGAAAGCGGCGTACATTGGTCCGCCAGCGGCTCTATCATCGAATGTTCCGTCCCATCCGACGGCTTGTATATTGGTTCATGATTTGGATGAACCAGCCAGGAAAGCCTTCGATGGGTTATAGCGGGGCCCTGCTCTGGACTTTGACTGAAAAGAGAGGGGCCACTTGGTTCATTCGAGGCGCGCAAGACCGAATGGGGTGTTGAAGAGGCACCGACATCTATCCTGGAGCCCTTTTCTTGGACAGGAGATAGAAACGACTTCCCAGGCTGAGCATTTGTGTCATGTTGAGGAACCATGGTAAGTAAACCCATGTCCATCGTCCTTGGCGAATGACTTTGAGGCTCCAGCTTTCTTTTCTTCGAGCGGTGACAGCAGCCAGCCTTGGGACCCGGTTTCAGAGGCCCCGCAGGATATACACAGGCATTCAACGAGGTTATGCAGGCGTCACAGACGGGAAGCTGGCGGCTGCACTTGATCTTCCGTCTCCTACATTCGCGGCAAGACAGAGCCGCCAGCTCGGAGGGGTGGGCGAAGTCGGTGGACTGCGCTTCCGAGCCCATTCCTAATTTGAACCATTGACCATATTGAAGTTATTGTGAAGGTCCTGTTGTGCTCTGTCGCATGCTGCATGCTTTCATCCTCCCCGGTGTGTCGGGGAGGATGACTAACTGGGGCCCGGTGGTTCCGGGGCTAAGTCACCTGATCCAAGACACGGTGAAA